GTTGTAAAACAAGCCCCCCCCTCGGCGAATCCCCTCGAAATTGGGTTTTCGTCGCTTGGCAACGACGTTGTACAATAAGCCAAGGCACTTCGTCAACTCGGCAACCAGGTTACCTTTTTTTTTTTACCTCTGTTTTTTTTGCGGTAACCATGAAGGGTGGTCGAGTAGATCATGTTGTGCGGGGTCGAGAACCCTCACTCCGCGCAAAGGGGATAATCGCACGTTGTGTTAAAATGGTCAAGCATCCTCGAGGCAGTTACACCGTGCTTCCAACTGTCTCTGGAAGTGAAAGCACCAGAAAATAAACTAAGTCACACGCAGCTGTCATCCGTACGCAAGGAAGTAAGCACAAGATGCCGAACACCCGTAGCAGAATGCGGCGCACCCTTCATGCGACTCGCCGAATACCTCACGGCGCGTCGCGCTTGGTGATGTGAGAGCCTGGTCCGGTGCGAGCCCGGCGTGCTCCGTCCCGGCTTTGTAGGGATGCGAGGTCAATGGTCTAACGACTACGGCATGCACGACTATGAGTACCCCCCCCCGAGCCCCAAAGCTTGTGCTCGCCCCAGGTTCGTTCTTTGGGCCCCGGCTCGTTGAAATTCTGGGTTTGTACTGAGGTGTTTATCAAGTCGAAAAAGTATGTTTTTAGAGCCCGAAGGGCTTTTTCGTGTCATTTCGAGGCGTATTGCTGATAAATTGGCGAGGTGACGAATAAAAAATGTGGATTGTCCTGAATTCAGTTCTGTTTTTTTTTTTTTTCTATTCCCCACCTCTGCCCCTTATTCCGATTCCCCCACCCTTTCTCAAAGATCGATCTCGACCTATGGCGCGCACGTCTCGCGATATATTGCGCCAGAAAAGTGTGCGATACTGTACCCTGTTTCGGTCCTCTTGACCGCCTCGCCTTCTATCTTGCTGTCTTGATAGCTCGTTTTTGCTTCTCGAACTACAATGCTGTCCAAACTTGAATCTCAAAGTCCCCTTGGCAGCAACCAAAAGCAAGTATTAATTTCAGATGGTGGCTTAGTAAATGAAAGTGTGTGCGGACCGAATGAGTTTCCAACTCGACATGATGCCAATATCCATAGTACGACGAAAACCCTCTTTTCAGCTTTCCCACATGCATAAATTCTATTTTTTCGTTTGCCCTACAACGACTACCTGCAGGTAATTCCAACCAAATTCTGCTCAACGTACACATATCGTCCACCCGATGTTTTCCCTATTGTACCCATCCATGTAAGGATGCTTCAAAATATAGAACGTACCATCTAACCTCGACAAATAACGTCATCATGTTATCTTTGTGATATACCAACGCGACGAGTATCGTCGGTGTTGCATGTCTGATTCACACTGAAACTCATTTGTTTTGTAGCGGGTTCAGATGGCTGCTGGCTGAGTTTAGTGCGTTGACAGATCATGACCCGACGGCGAATGGAAGCAACAAATAAAATAGGCGTTCTTCGAGAGACAACCGTAATATTCTATAAATACGTTGTTGAAAAATATGTGTAGATACGCTGGTCATGGTACAAGACGTTGAAGCCATTGGTAATCTACCGCGAACTGTGGAAGAGAAAGGATGCGGTGCTATGTAGAGAAATTCGCAGGTCAACGTTCGTTGTTGTGGTCACAAACTAAACAGTCGTTCCGGACGCTGCTCAGTCAGTCAGTCACACTACCTTCTAACCGTGGCCTACAGTAGGCCCAGTACTCTAACCGTGGCCTAGGCCAAGTACCCGATGGAAGTACATCGCGAAATAATACACTTGTTATGCAAAAATGAACAAAACGCACCATAAATACCGAACAAACATGTAACACCTTCTGTGCTGACGATGCCGTTGAAAAATAAATTTCATTTGGATTCATACATGAGATTCGAAGTTGTCAAAACGTATTCGAGAAGATATTAAAAAGTGAGCGACGGGAACAAGGAAGACGGCGAACCAGTGAAGAGGTGAGAAACAGCACGCAGGGTTGCACATGCTCGCACACTCCTGGAGAAGATATTCTATAGAGTGGTGGCGCATCGGCGTACGTATGCATATGCGCTGTGTTCGTATCACGACATATTGGCTCTCTAGGTCGTACTCACATTTTCACTACAAACCACCTCCCTCTGAAATGAACATGATGCCGTTGGTTTGTGCCACGCCGATCCAAACATTCAACTTTTTCCGACATTGTTCGAGAAGGAAACAGAGCGATCACGACAGGAAGAAGATAGAAGGCGAACCGGTAAAGAGGGTCAAAACAGGGCATTGTCGCACAAATCTGGGGCAACATGCAACTTGCCTGCTTGTGGACTCACAGAGAGTCCAGAAAGACTGAAGGTAAACACACAATCTTCATGTCGTAACTAGGGTACTACTAAAGTTGGTTGCAGCGCTTCCGTCGTGATAGATCTTCGTTACTGTGCACACAAACACATGGACACGTAGATATTATCCCTGACACACAACGCTTCCATGGATGGAGGAAGCTGGAAAACTATGCATGGGGAAACTCCCATGGACGGGGGCCTCGACGCCTTGTTCCATGGAAACGGCACGAACAAGCTTCCATGGAAGTCTTCGTCGACAGCTTCCATGGAAGCTGGAATGCTTCCACGAAAGCTGGAGTTAACGCATGTCCAGACCCTTCCATGGAAGTTGCTTTCATGTGCTTCCATGGAAGTTGATTTCGAATGCTGTCACCTACTTCCATGGAAGGAAGTTGCTTGCATGGAAGTTGTCGTGCTTCCATGGAAGTTGGCACAACTTTTAAGGAAATTGCAGCGACTCTGTCGAGCGACGAGCTTCCATGAAGTGTCACTTCCACGGAAGCTCGTCGCGCTTCCATGGAAGTCCGAAATCCTGCTTCCATCGAAGCAAATAGCGGCTGCTTCCATGGAAGCCGCTATTTGCTTCCATGGAAGCAGATTCACTTCCATGGAAGCCCGATGAGCTTCCATGGAAGAAGCGTCATGGAAGCTGGCTAACCGATCCAGACCAGCAGGTTCCATGGAAGTAAATTTGGCTCCCATGGAAGCCGCGGTGACTTCCATGGAAGTCAACTTGACTTCCATGGAAGCAGTGAACCACTTCCATGGAAGTAGATTTTGACTTCCATGGAAGCTTAGTCCATTTATTTTTGTCAAATAGTGTAGGTTACCCCCGCCTGGCCTGCTCGAATATCTTCACGACGACGTCGTCAATGCACAAGCAGATTGTTGTTGGAGTAGATGCCGTGAAAGAGTGGCCCCTTTCGACCCCTCTCTCGGTGTTGTTCTATTTTATTTAGCATGTCAGCATCAAATAACCACATCTAATCATTCGGCTGCCCCGCCAGCTACATATTTTAGTTTCGGTGCTTATGCGCATGGCTTAAACGCATACCGTGGTACATGTATCTGTCGGCCTTGCAGCAAATAGCACGCGATCGTCTCCGAGGCACACCGAACCAGCAGCAGCCAAGTGCAGCACCATCAGCGGTGATTCGAGCAACAAACATTTAAAGAGAGGAGGTGGTGCTGCCTTGAGATCCACCCGCCGTGTCTGTGAGAATTTGTGGAGTAAAAGATCCCGCCTGCAACCGCATGGTACTCGGTATCTCTCAATTTCACACTACTACTACTGACTGTAGGAGAGAGCGTCTGCCGCCCTCGAACCTCAGCAGCGCACTCTGTCTGGTGCGTGAGAAATGTACTACATCTTCTACAATTTCCCTGCGGATGTCTGTTGTTCTGTTGTGTCATATGTATAGCCAGCCGTGGGGAGCCCTACTTCGGTTCCAGAGCTCTGCAATCAACGACAACGTCGAGAGCCAGCTTGGCTTGCGTTCAAGAATTAAGCCGACCTCCCCGCTGCTGACAAGTCCTGCTCACCCGTGGAATGCGAGCAGGATGCCTACCCGGAAGTGCGCGAGAGTTGTTTGCCTACGTCAGCGCGGTACTTCAGATAGATGCGTATGTTCAGAGTGGATAAATGGCGAGTTTGGGTTTAGGTTTTGAACAGTTCACTTTCACGTTAATGGAGATAGTCTAGAGCCAGTTTGCCAAGTTTTGTCATCTTGTAGCTTTTAGTTGCTTTGGTCAACACCACGCCAGGATGGGGCTGCTGCACACTTCATCTCACCAACGCAAGCACGCCGTCGGTCATGGAGCTTACTGCCAGGAGTGGGAGGACTCCTGCTTCGGCGCTGACAAAGGTTCAGATGTGTGTCAAATTGATGTCGGGCCACCACGGTTCGCTCTGCTTTTTTTCGAACACACGTACGTACACCCGCCCACAGCAGCGGCCGGAAATCTACTACACTCTATCGAACGTCCAACACGGGAGTGCGGCGTGGACCACAACAATATCCTAGGGCACCTTGCTGCCTAAAGCGTTGTAGGCTCTGGCTGGAAGATTGGGGGGATGAGTTGCGAGAGAGCGATAAGCGTTTTGGGTGTGTTGCGTGCGGTTGTCGCTGCGTGCACACCCTGTCTGGATGCGTTCATATGCATTCCAGCTCGAATAACGTCGCGTCTCTCTCACAAGACGCTCGCAACGCTCCTCTCAGACCCATCTCGTTTGATGGCAAGGTACCCCAGAGCTGTGGAGCACGCCGCGTCGAAGGTTTCACCCGAATGCAAGCATCTGTTTGGGAAACATACAGTAGCGACTTGGTCGCGGGCCGTGCTGATCAGATTCGCTCATGCTGACACCTTGACATCACATCGTTAAGAGAACAAACGGGACTGGGAACGGCGCTCTAAAAAAGTGAAAAGTGAATTTTCCGAAATGTGAACACACGGCTGTAACAGACGGTAGCTGCCCTTCGTGCTAAAACATACTTCCTAGGGTCGAAGGTTCAATTTTATAGCGGCAATAAACTGGCCCTTTTTCTTCCAAAAAGTGAAATATGGTAACGGCTAGATACAAACGACAAATTTCTCGCGGCTTCTCCAAAGTCTAAGTCACCAGCGAACCCATCCCCCCACGAACCGTTGTCCACCCGTTGCTCGCTTTGAAGCAGACATTCGCCCGTCAGTAGAGCTCTCCTTTCTCTACCGCTCGCACCCACCCAGCCCCACCAACCCGTGCTGTGCTAACAACCTGTGCCGTTCCCTGGGCTGTAATAAATGGCAATGATGCTCTTATTGTTCAGGACCCTCCAAAAGATCTGGTCGAAATGACTCACTCCACGACCCGGCATTCATGACTGACACTCGCACGGTCCACCCTTTGTATGATCTACTATCTTTTGCCTTCAGATTCTTGGGAACCCCCGCTGCTACATTCACTTGTCTGACCCATCCACCGCCAAGTCATAACCGCCGTGCCTTTAGCCTGCAAAATATTCACGTTGGGTTACGACGGAAGGGTACTCGACTTGACCGTTTTCACCTGGTGTTGCGCGGATCGAGGTCTCCGGCGACGACCAGACTCACAACCCGCTTTTTACACGACGATAGTGAAACCAGGCCCTCCTAGCCATCCCACATAGCCTTCTCCTTCCGGGTATGAACCATGGTATCCTCAGGCTAAACGTATTCTTGTGGGACTAAATCACCAGGCACACTGCTTCCGGCGATGCTTGGCACGGTTAAGATTCCCCCGAGATAATTCTTGCAGCTGGGCGATCTTCGGCGGAACAAGGTGGGTAGCAGGCCGTTTCGACGAACGATCGCCACATGCAGACGCGCGCGGTCGTTGTAGGGAAATGATTGTCTTCGGGTGATTGCTCTCACGCTTGCTGACATTTACACATGACATTCAGGCCATAATTGCGTCGGCGGCGTGGAGGAAGACGAAGATGAAGAGTATCACAACACAACACGTGGAGCAAAGAAGGTACCGGGTACCAGGAAGAGGGCGGCACAGGGACAGAGACAGATGGAACGTCGACAAGGCGAGGCCTGTTCAATGTGTTCGCATTTCGTAACCGGTGCTCTTCTCGTCTATCTTCGTCTGCGGCTTGCTTGCGTATGGGCTTGATCTGATTGCCCGGTCTCGAGTTCGGCTTCGGCGGATTCTGCGCCTGGACTGTGGTTACTGCTGTTGTCTTCACGTTAACAACCGTCCCGGTCTCTCTACTCTGCCTTCTTCGGTCCGCACTACAGTCCCTTGACGCGGTCGATTCCTGTGGTCACAGGCTACCTTACCCAACCAAGGCATACCAAACCAAAATGGACCCGAAGGGCCCGCAGGGCCCGCAAGTCAAAAGGAATCAACGACAGATAGTCAAGGGCCCTCCGCTCGCCTTCTACCCGCGATGTTAGGTAACCACAGACATGACAAACGAGGCTGCGGCCTACAACACGTCAGTTTTTTCAGTCCACGACAACATCCCGCCCTTTTGTCTCGGTAAAGGGGTGTGAAGTTGAAGACAACAACAACAGCAACAATAACAGCAACAACAACAACAACGAAAAGGTGCGGGTGGGCAACCAGGTGAGGGAATGAACGGCCACCCTTCCGCCTCTTTGCCACGCACCAGCCCTAAAATGGAACCAGCGGAGCGTGCATACCTGTCGCTCGCGCGCTTGTAGCTGCATCCTGAGACGGGCGCAAGTCTGCTCCGCCTCCGACACCTTCGATGCAGAGTCGGCCGCCGTCGCCTTCGACTTGCTATGAGCGGTCGGACACGTTGCAGCGGAGGAGAAGCACGGCCATGTTTGTGGTATGGATCGTGTTGTTTCGGGCGTGGACTGCCGGAACTGCTCCGGAACTACACCATGTGCCTATTTAGGTTAGAAAAGGGTGACACGGCCAGAAAAGCTTGCACATACATTACACAAGAACGCACACATGCACGCGGCAGACTATGAACAGCAATGGATTCGGGTAAATCCCCCCTGAATCGAGATGCACAAGAATATAGACCTAGGTTCTTGCCACGAAACGTAGAAATTACCGACCTGGTCGCGGGCGTCGTTCGAACAAGAATACTTGCACCAAACTCCACACACGACAAAAGATGACCACCGTATAGACTAGACGTCAATCGTAGTGAAGCCCACATGAAGATCGTCAGCTCCGCCAAAGCACAAGCACCCTGCATCAATGGTTTTTACACCAAGCACGACGAAAACAGTCCGTGCCAACGACCTTGCTCTGCAGCCAACCCTGTTACCGCCGGGCACACGCTATCAGGCGCAGGAGCTTGAAAGCACTTAGTTTTGGCAAGAAGTCGAACGAACGGCCCACGGGCAACAACCACAACACATGGCAACAAAGCCGCACCCCTACAGCGTTGTGTCAGTCTACTTAGACTTGCCTGCGAGCAAACCAAGATGAGAGAGCATCGAAAACCGACCTATCCAACGGAGGGAGTCTAACATTTGCCCCGGGGTCTAGGGTAGGAAGAATATATTTTTCATTACGGCATGTTTGTTGTGCATGGACAGGGTTACGATAGAATATACTTCTCGTTTTTCTCTGTTTTGCAACCAAGGGATTTACATGCAGTGCAGCAATACAAAGCAGACACAACAACGATCGAATCGACGAGATAATTCACGACCAACATGTAGACTCGAACCTCAAGAGCTCCTCGACCGACGCCACTCTCTCCTTGAAGGCTTCGAGCTCGACCCGGGCCCTGTCCCCATCCTTCCTGGCCACCTCGGCCGCCAGGGACGCTGCCGCGGCTCTCTCCCTCAAGATCTCTACCGCCCCTACTGCGAAACCCTCGTCGTTACCGCCGCTGCCACCACCACCAAGACCGTCAGCCCCAAGAACACCACCACAGCCACCACTCCGACGTCCCTCCCGCGTAGGCGCGTTTCCAGATTGCGTTTCAACGGCGAGCTCTCGCTCAGCGTTGGACAATGCACGCATCTTAGTGAAAGCGGGAAGACAAAGACAAAACGGGTTTAAGGGGATTTGGGGGGGGATTAACCTTGGTTTATCCGTTTGTATGCTCCTACTACACTTATCTGTGGTCACGCGTGAACAGTGGCGCAACGCACGTTCGTCAAGCATAGCTTCACGCACGCATGCCCCCCGATCAATGCCGAACATGGTCGCTCGAAGCAGGCGCGACCTATCGATCTACTTATACCACAAAACGTTCATGGTCATATTATGACCTCCATCCTCCAACTGGCCTGTTTCTTTCCTACCTTTTCATTTTCCTCGACCGCCTCCTTCGCCGGGGCTTCAACAGTTCCCAGGCTGCTCAGAACACTCTTTTCCAGGATTTCCCGATGGCCAGGATAACCGGTGTCTTTGGTGATCGCCCTGTTCAAACGTCATCAAGCGTGGAAACACCCCCCAAAACATGGTGTAGTGGAATCAGTTGGCGTGACCCCTTCGGCGCTGAAGCAGACTCCTACTACCTCGAGTTCGAAGAAAATGCTCTATATTTCGTTCTCCAATTATGTGTGCTTGAGTGTTGAGAGTTTTGGGAGCTTGTGGGGGTATTTTGTGTTTGTCAGCACGGGGCATGGGCAAGCCTACCGCACTTTCCGGAGGGCGGGGGGTGGGTGGGGGCATTCTGTCGTTTGAAGGTGGCCGAGATCTTCGATAGAGCTATGTACAAACCATACATACAGCCAATATCTCAGGCGGCGACATCAACAAAGGAATCTAAGCCAGTGACGTCGAAAACCCACACAGCCGAGGTTGACATGTGCGGGGAAGAAAATTCACAAAGAGGGCGGTTGCATTTTTACCTCGACTCCTGGGGCTTGCCGAGACGTTTTGTCTTGCCGACGATCTCTTTCCTCACGCGAGAAAGGTTGTTCCCGGACTCGACCAGTCCCTTGAGCAATGCGCGGATTTGCTCCCGTTCGGCCTTGATGCGGGCTGTCGCGGCGGCGATTGATCCTGGGTGGGTCTTGATGCTGCTGGGGCTGCTGGGGCTGCTGGGGCTGCCGATGCCGATGCCACTGACGGTTTTGCTGCTGGTTTTGTTGTGGATGTGGGCAAGTTTGCCGCTGCTGCGGCTGCCGAGGCCACCGCTGGTTTCGTCGTGGACGTGGATAGCTTTGGTGGCGCTGTTGTCGTTGTTGCAAACCTCTTCGTTGTTGTCCTTGGCATCGCTATCGCCCTTGGTGGTATCCCTCGCGGTCTCGGTACTGCTGCTAAGGGTACGGTCGACGACACTATTTCCACTGGTTTCGTTGCTGGGACGGCGATTGCCACCGCCGTTGCCGCCGTTCTCTGGAGCTAGACCAACGCCGTTTGATGCCTCTCCGTACTCGATCTGCTTCGATTGTTGATCCTGGTGGTGTGCGGCGTTCATCAGCTTCAGATCGTTAGTCTCGACCAAAAGTAGCTTCGAGACAAGAAAGTACGTCCGCAAGAGGGAATGGGCGGTCGAGAAGAAGTGTAAGGAGCGAAGCAGGCGAGAGTCATGGAACACCGCAACTTCCGTAGAACACAAAGCGGCCTCTTCATCACATTCATGGGAAAAATTGCGCATCTTGCAATCTGCCCCTGGGTCTCTCCTTGTTCTGGTCGTATTTTTTGCTGTCGCCTTCCTCTGTTTGTCTGTCCATCTGTCTGTCTGTCTGTCTACCTCTCGCTCCCCCTTCCCGCCTGTCTCTCTCCATGGAGGTTTTCTTGGGCATCAAGCACCCACGCGTTATATGGCGTGATCAGCGACGTCGCGACTCGAAGAGGTACAAAACCTAGCCCAAGTTCTACACGCTCCACCATGCTCTCAGCCTTTCCAAGCGATCAGAGTACGTACGATCGCAAAAGTCGCACTTTTATTTCCACCAACACGGGTTAGGTACTGTACTCAAGGATGTGCAGGCTTGACGCGGCAAAGCTTATTGTCCGTTTGTTTCAATTCAGTTGACACGTGCCCACACGCGACAACCCTCCGCGAGACCCCCGAGACCGCTGGGGAGCATCGGCACGACCTTGTGGCTGTGTAATAGGTAACAACAAAAGGTGAGGACATCGACAGGCTCGGCGGCGAAAACGTGTTCGATAGCTTTCGGTCTTCCGGATGTCGGTCTTCTCTCGTACTCCGTTGAAGAGCCCCTACTATGATCTCTCCCTCAGAGCAACATGGGTTTTTAAGTTGTCGGCAAAAAGAAAAAAAACGAATGACACCAAGCAAGAACGCAGATGAATGTTCCGTAGACAGAAAGCCTAGCCTGATTGGTCATGACTCTAGAAAACTGTCAGGGCATCCCGAACCTCACGGAAACGTACACTCGATTCGCCTGTGATGTAGTAGTAGCAGCACGGCACACCTGATTCTTGAGGCCTTCCTGCTCATGCTCCATAAAAGCCGCCTTCGCCGCAAACGCCTCTTTAAGCTCCCGCCGTTGCTGCCGGTGGGCCACCTCCAGCTGAATCGACGGCGGGCGGGTTACGGTCGTTGCCGCCGTCGTCATCGTTGTCAATGTGATGACCAAAACATCAGATTGGGAAAAAGTTCCTTGGTAGCTTGAGCCCGCGTTTATCAACGTTTCTGAACTCGGAAGGTGCGTGACTTGGAATTTGTGGAGCTGTTTGGCACAAAACAATTGGGTCCGTTTTTTTCTTCTCTCGGTCAGGCGAATCACCCGAAACACGCGATGTCAACGCGATCGCAACGTTTTGGTTGATACTTACCCATAGGTCGTTGTCTCTCGTTTTTCGGAGCACTACGTTTGTCACGATGACAATTTCAGGGCCTCACCAAGTGATACAGGGGCGGTAGGGTGAGACAGTATGAAGGCGGGGTCGCAGTCCTTTCGAAGTACGCTCCTGCAACAGTGTACCCGATCCTTATGTATTGCGCCTCCTCCCCCTCCCCATCCTCCTGCTGCAGCTGCTGCTGCTCTCGCCCTTGGTCGCTCGGAGCCACCGAGACCTGTTGCTGAGGGTCCGGCAAGCATTTTTTTCCAGGGACCAGACTTCCCGCATTTAGAGCACGGGGCGAAGTATTATCTTCTTGGAATACAGCCCCCCGCCTCTGCGTATCGTCCCGGTAGCGTGCTGGAACCACCGGAATTTTGCTTGTCAGTTGAGCGACCTGGTCTTCCTCAGAAGGTGTTGGGGTGGTGGAACCGACGGGTAACCTGCGTTCCTCTTCCTCTTCCTCCGCCTCCACCTCCTCTTTCATATCCTTTTCCTGTTCCCCTCCGTCATTCCTCTCCTTCTCCTTATTCCCGTGCCTAATACCGGCCGGCTTCCGACACGAAGAGAAGGAGGCCGAGTACCCTTTCCAGGGCACCGAGAAGGCGGGCGCTTTCGCGCCCACGCTGGGATGATGCTGCAGTAGGGCAGTGATGGCAGCAATGACGATACAAATGGCGTCAACAACGGCATGAAGTCCGGTGGGTGTGGTCTACAGTCGCTGATCAAGAGTGCGGACCATGCGCAAGGACCCGAGATATTGATTGACTATTGGTGCAGGCTCGTTGGGTTCTTTGCGCTGATCACAGGTGGAACAACTGTTTGACGATGCGGACGGAAGTACGGGGTCCATATCGGCTATTCCATCAGTCCCAATTGCGGAGACATTGCTGCCGCAAGCAATCGACATCTCAGAGAATAGTGTCTATTGTACTTCTTGTTGTGCTCTCCGGGCGTGCAACAGTAGTAAGTCAACTTAACACCGCGTCAGCGACATGTTCATCTACAACATGCCTAACACCACGCTCCCCGCTTAGGTCGCAGGCCGAGGGGTAGATGCGAACACATCACACAAGCGAGGAGTGGGTGGAGTTAGGATAGATAAGCTTTTTTCTTTTCGCGCTGGGTTGAACGAGGCTCAGTACACCAACCGAATAACGTACAAGTAGCGTCTATCGAGATTTCTGTCACACACTCACCTCCTGCCCGGGGCGGGGGGTTGGCCGCGGTGGACGGTTTCCGGTGTCGCCGGCGATCCGGCGGTTTCGTCGCGGCATCTTTTCGATGAAACTTGACAAACACTGCAGAACTTAGAGGGGTGCAGAAACACCAGAAAGGGGGTAACAGATGCAGGGCGATTGAGGGCGATACAAGTGTCGTTGGGTATGTTTTTGTGTTCTTGCGCTATGGTGCTGATGATGGCGGTTGGTTCGCACGCGAGCCGTTATTCCGTCCGTTATGTCGGTGGCACCACTGCGGCTGCTGCTGCGTCCGACCTATCTCACATGCAAGCTGCAACAACCTGATCATATTCAATCATGGAAGGAAGCAAAGAAAGGACTGGCTACAGAGCGCGATCTCAGGATAGCTACACTTCTTGGGCTACCTTCGCGAGCTAGGGATGGCATGCAGCTACGGGCTTGGAGACGGAAAGGACGGGTGAACGGCAGACCGGCAGGCATGGGGGGCATGTGTGCGAGAACGCCCTGGCCCAAAAAGCTACAAAATCAAATCACACGCCAACTACGCTGCCCTTCCGACTTGACACTAGCCTTCCCGCAAGTCATTTCCCTCGACTCTGCGTTGGAACACACACATGCCTGCGTTATCTTGTGACCGGCCCTCGGCTGCGGCGCAATCAACTCACCCAAGCGGGCGGGAGATATGGGGCCCGCAGGGGCACGCGGTCCCTCTCAGATGGCACGCTGCGGCGGCCAAACTCTGTTGCGCCGACTCTGTCGAGGGGATCGATGACCTCTCTGTTTACTTCGGAGCCGTGTTGGCTAATGAGCAGACTCACCGCCTCCCTCTCCGTCCGCAGGCAACAAGGTGCCCGACCAGGTGCATGTCCGCGCGAGATTTGGATCCGGGGTTCCGTGTCCCTAATGGGGTTGGACCGAGATCCTTTGATTCTGCGGAGCACCCATACTAAATAGAGCGCAAATGGCAGCAATTAGCAGCGCCGTTGCTGTTGCTGGCACGGAGCAGGAGGAACGCAGAGAGGGAAAGGGGGCTCGGAGTACGGGGATATCGTTGCAACCATGCTGAATCAGGCGAAGACCGCGGTTGGAATGGCTGCGCGGAGAGTGGGGCGAAGCTTGGATGGGATGGGCGCAGCTCTCGAGACGCACCCCTACACCGAGAAATGTAAGAAGAGTGGAGATAGAGAGGGGCCGGAGGGGAGAGAAACAAAGAGAGAGACACACAGAGATGCGTCGGGCTGCTGCTCTGGCGCTGCATTCCTCTTTTTCACCGTGTCCACGAGTTTGCGAAGCGTCCAACTATGTGTTGCATGTCGTTTGTTCCAAGGCGAGAGAAGCGAGAAACTCAACCAGACAACGCACGTTTCTCTCCTGCTGTGAACAGAACCAGCACACAGATCCCCTCGGCGGAGTCGACCACGTCGACGAAGCTGGCATGTATGTCGCAACCACCAACAAGAGAGCTAGGAGACCTGTCGGTCGTGAAGACATGCCGCATTGCATCAGTACCAGCAGTCCTGTTGGCAACCCTGCATGTGAAGCACGAAACCACCGTCAACAGATGCATACAATTGTACAGCTATAAGCAATTCTGTCCAGCCTGCATACCCCCGCGGGCGTACTTGGTACTACAGTAGTCTCGAATGTCATATGCATATTTTGCAGCATGTGTGCTGGTGAGCGTGTTTGCAGTAACCCGATGTGTGCGGCACGGCAACGCCAGCGAAACGCGAGTGACTGGGATGGGGTCAGATCGCCGAGTCACCTTGGTTGTTGGAGAACAAGCTCGCATGCGTGCAAGAAATATAAGTACGTTATGGTTCATGAATCCCTGGTGTTGAAATTACGCGCACACGGGGCACCCAACCCCACTGCCCCCGTATCCCACCACTCACTGCTGTGCGACTCATTGCAGGTGGTTGTTTGGTGCGGTTAACACGTCATTGGTTGATAGCCTCTCTTTGAATGCTTATATGGCGTAGCCCCTGCTTGATAAGCGTGCGATTAAGGGTGTGGCAGCAGCTGCAAGTGCCACTCTCTACGGTTTCTTCCAGGACGACGTGGAGCCGTCCATGACCGAAAACTGCACACGCGCTGCTGTTTTTGAATGCGGCATCCCAGGCCGTGAACGCTGCCAGCTTTGCCGCTCTCCATTCCCTAATCACTGTGGGTATGCTTCATTGGTCCAGCCCTGTGTGTTATTTCTCTCCTTACGCTGCTTGGCGTGCATTGCTCTGATGCTTCTGCTGCTTCTGCTGCTTCTACCACGAAAACAACAGTGTTGGCGTCCACAAGGAGCGTCGGGCACAAGGGCAAGGTGCCATCGACGGCACAGGCTTCCTTCGTGGCCCCCAACGCTTCCGTCATCGGAGACGTGAAGGTGAGCAGCTCAGCATACTTCTGTAGCAGGCAACCCTTGTGGCTGGATCTGTTTGCTGCATGCATGGCAGCTGGATTCGGTACTGTGGTGTTTTTTCATTGTGAGAGACGTGCCTTGGTGTCAGACCTGTTTGGCGCCGTTCATGGTGGTGCAAGGAGAAGAGGTACAGAGAGCCACCAGGCGAAAGAGGAGGGGGGCGTAAGGAGACTTGCTGCGAGGCGCGAGGCGGGACATTGGGCTATATTGCGGTGGAGTTGTATCGCGCTTGAGGAGCCGAAAGGGATTCCACTCAGGGGCACCTGGCGAGACGCTTTAGCGCTGCTGTGCTTGAATAGGTTGGGTTTCTCGTTAGGTTGTTCCTCTAGCACGCTTCTCGACAATGAAATTTGCGGGAAACTTCCATCATGGAGTATTTCAACTATTCTCAGCCGCAAAACATGGACTGGACTTGTTTCTTGGTGGCACCAAAATTGTGTTCGGGCCCGGATACACCACGGGCTCGAATCTTGCTGGGCTGGATCGAATCTACCGTTGCCATCGACGTCTCTGAAATCGATCACCCCCGCGCGCACCTTTTGTTCACCGCCCGTACGGCTGACGCTTTTCCCTACCGACTTCGTGTACCCCGCCTGCTTCGGACGTCGTACCTGCTGCGTCGCTACCGCTACCGCTGCTGCTACTACACTGCAAACCAACCGCCGGACGGCATTATTCAACACTGCACACGTGCCCACCAAAAGGTTGGCGAGGGGGCGTCCCTGTGGTACGGCTCCGTGGTCCGCGGGGACGTGAACCACGTCGTCATCGGCGCCGGCAGCTCGGTCGGCGACTCGGCGGTCGTGCACGTGGCCGGGCTCGCGGGCAACAAGCCCACCATCGTCGGCAACAACGTGGTGATTGGTGAGCGAACGTCTACAACTGTGTGGCAATATTTTGGTATTCGAACAGTGTCTCCTCGTACGTAGCTGCTTGTACTGATACAAGTGTTGGACCTTGTGTGGGGTAGGGGGAAGAGGAGGGCTCCGTTGTTTGAGTTGGTGTGAGGCTGTCGCGCCGGGAACGTGTACCCTATCTGTAGCTCAAGAACCAGGCTGATCCATTGCACTGCTGAGTCAGCACCGACTGAAATCTGCTGGATTATATATAGCCTTTGTCAAACGGTATCCGTCGAGAAGGGTGCGGCCTCATTGGCGGCCCTTGGCAGGTATTGTAGGTGTCATGCACCTTGCTGGTGTTTTGCACTGTTGGTCGTTTTCGCAGAAAGCCTGGTTTTGTCGCGGCTGCTCTTTTCGGCCTGCTGCAGGCCAAATCATCCTCTGGGACAGCCTCCTCTACGTCCCGCCATTTGAAGCCCCGACTCAGGCCTTTGTCTGTTGAAAAGTCTTGGGGGGAATCGATCCAACAGTCGGTGTCACAGGGTCGGGGCTCTTGAATCGGGCGAATCCCCCCCCCACTCAACCTCTCTATAGCCACGCGTGAAACCTGCGCAAGCCTCTCTGTTGCCCACGTGCCCCACGGCTCTGATCCCCGCAACCGCGCGCTCCCCCCCCCCGCGCCTGGTGCAGGCCCCAGAGCTACCATCCACGCGTGCACGCTCAAGGACGACTGCATGGTGGGCGCGGGCGCGACGGTTATGGACGGGGCGACGGTGTCGAGCGGAGCGATGGTGGCGCCGGGGGCTACCGTCTCCCCTAACATCACGGTGCCGACCGGACAGGCGAGTGCTGGCCGGTCGTGGTGATGTGTATTGCTCGCCGTTGTTTTCTCTGTTCCGTAGTGTTGTCGGGAGAAAGGAGTGGCGAGGGGGCGAACGGCGACCTAGCCACTCGTGTGACGATCGACGCGGCGTCCCCCTTTTGGTCTGGTTCGAAGAGTCGCAGGGACAACGATTCGGGGGGGAGGAAGGAGGCCTCCCATGTCTGTGCTCGTCGACTCGCCTGGGGGCTCATCCCCTAGGCACCCTGGCCTTTACGGGTCTGCAGGATATGCACACGAAGTTGCGCGCTTCTTGCTACGATGTCCCGAGAGCCGGTGAACCCAAACGTACCGGACGTGAAAACGTGTGTGCTGCACGGGATTCATACCCGTCCCCCGCTGGGCCGTCATGTATTGTTAGCATCTACCGATTGATATCGACCGGCCTGTAGCGGCATATACCATATACCGTGCCGGCCCGCCCGCCGAGCCTTTGCCCCCATCCCGCCCCCGCCCCCCCCCCCAATAGTCCCCGTACTCCCCGCTAGTCCGTCTCCGCTCTGCACCATCTCCACCGAAACCCCTCTGTCTTGTCGTTGCCCCCCTCATCATGTTTGTGCGTGTTTTTTCTCTTGTCGATTTTTTTTGTTTGCGGCGGTTTATGCAGCTGTGGGCAGGCACTCCCGCGGTGTACGTTAGGGATATCTCCGAGCTGGAGGCCGCTTCGATAGTCACCACGGCAGCGGAAACTCAGGTGAGGCGGGCAGGAATCCAGGGCGCCGCGGAGGCGTGTTTTTTTTTTATTGCCGACAAAGATCGGTCGAGAGAGTTGTGCCACTGGTTGTGTTTGCAATCCTTGTCGTCGCTTGAAGACAGGAGGCCCGTTCCCCGTATTCAGGGAAACGGTCCGTCTAGATGGGGCGTAGGCAATACACGTCGCCTGCAGCAGTGTAACCACACCGTGTTGTGACGTCGTGGAAGGACAAAACAGGGGAGCGCGTGTTTGTGAGGTACGTCGAAGGCCAGCGGGTTTGGCGCCGTTTGCCCTGCTTTTTTGTGGAAGGACCTGGAATTTAGTGGCTTGGTCATGGCGCTATCTGTTGAGGCCATATTGCCGATCGTGCCGCTTTTTTATATTTTTAACCACTCTACATCATGTGTTCTGTGCGCCATGTGTTCCTTTTCTGCCTGGTCGCGACCCGGCCGCCCTCCAAACGTTCGTTGATGGTTTCGTTTTTGTCGTGGACCGTGGTCCTGATTCTCACCATTGTTTTCCCTCGCTCTCTCTGCTGTTTTGTCCGGTGCGCCTGCTGCGCTCTCTTGCGCATCGCTGGACTCTCTTTGTTTCCGCCGGCAACCGCCAGGCGCTGTCTCTAGCGCACGCGTCGGAGTGCGAGAAGGGGCCGCTGGAGATCGAGCTGGACGAGCGGAAGTGGGATGAAAAGGCCAGCCGCGACCCAACGTAAGCATTTGTTTTGATTCTGTTTAACTCACTGTTTTGGGTCGCCCGGCGGAGATTACAGAGGTCCCTTTGGAGCTTCGATAATATCGCGCCGTAACCCTGTCCTAGTCGTCGCGTACCGCTGTGTCGACTTACCCGTCAGCACGTGTCTTGGCCAGTGTGTAGGCGTTGTTGTTGCCGGTGGTAATGGTGTGGCTTCGTGTGTGTGTATGTTTCGTCATATTTACGATGGCGGCGGTCCCCCCATTTTTCGTGGTGAGAACATGTACTTGAATTTTCAGTATATGTAGAGTACTACACTTTTTAGCGTATTTTTTCGTCAACTGCAACCATCCAGGGTCCCACAGGAGGGGGTAAACACCAGGGCTTTTTCTTCTTTTGTTTACTTTCGTGCCCTGCCTTCCTCCTGCGGTGTGTGCTGATTTGTTTTTTTAATCGCGAGAAGGGTCCAGCCGTCCCTTTCCCTCGTCAACGGTGCTAGCGTCCGAGTTTGGTACTCTTTTTCAGCTATATTTCGCTTTCACCCGCAAATTTTGTGAAACTTCCACCCCATGTGGATTCGAACTCACGGCCTTTGCGACTAACGGTTTTGAAGGATACCTCGAGACCACCCGGGCGTAGAGATGCTACTTACCATTTCCCCAATATTCCACAGCGTCTGTTGCCGCCTTTTGGGCTGCGTTCGCTTATTCGTGGCTCAGCGGACTTGGGGTGCTGTGTCCGGTGTGGTGGTGACTACAAGGTGGCAGTGGAGGGGGGTTGAAGACGACCATGGCAGTTTCGATGCGCGCATCCTCCTTCATTCCTCCTCCGTCCTGGAGTGCTTGGGTTGGCAGTGTTGCAGGCGCGCAGCATGACCACGCATCCATGATGATCACCATGTTTGATGCCTAACCAAGGTTTCACAGATATGCACCGTCGAGCTCAGGGGCGACGTCCTGCACGAGCAGCGCGCTGGAAATTTCCGGTAACCCACGCCCCCGCCGTCCCCACCCCGGTGCCGCCATCCCCGCTTCCTCTCTCTTTCTCTTTCTCTCTCTTTCTCTTTCTCTCTCCTTCTCTTTCTCTCTCTCTCTCTCTCTCTCTCTCTCTCTCTCTCTCTCTCTCTCTCTCTCTCTCTCTCTCTCTCTCTCTCTCTCTCTCTCTCTCTTCCTCTCTCTTCCTCTCTCTGTCTCTCTCTTCCTCTCCCTTTCTCTCTCTTTCTCTCTCTTTCTCTCTCTTCCTCTCTCTGTCTCTCTCTTCCTCTCTCTTTTTCTCTCTTTCTCTGTCTTTCTCTCTCTTCCTCTCTCTCTCTGTCTGTTTTCTCTCTGACGCAGTTACGTGTTCCAGGTGCCTGAGGAGGGGGACGACAACCTCGCCTACAACGACGTGGAAGGGCAGGGTGTCCCCGGGCGCGTCTTCAATACCAACCTGCGCTCGCCGGACGTGGAGTACGAGCCGCCCACGTACGAGGGAGACATGGCCGCCGGCAACGACGCCGAGGAGGGCGGGAAGATGCCTCACGTCGCCGCCGAAGCAAAAGCTTAACATAGGTGTTTTTTTTAGACGCAAGCACGGGTGCGTTCCACGGGGGGGGGCGCGGCGTGGAGCGGCACCGGGGGGGGGGTTGCGTGGAACGGGCGTAAAAAGAATGGTACTTGTGATCACAGGCCGCGCACATATAGTAGGGAGGAAAAGAGGGCTGTTTCGAGGCTGCGAGGTTGAGGGCCCAGCACCAGGGATGGGGATAGAGAGATGGTGGAGCAATAAAGGTTTCGCGGGCAGTAGCGCCGGCGGGATTGGAATCACGGTCATGGTCTCTCTCCCTGTCTTTCCCTTGCCTTCCGCTTGGTGGTTTTCCTCAGATGCTGCCTCTTCGTTTTCTGGGGGGAGGGGGAGGATGGTTGGAGCCTTTTGGCTCGAACTATCGGGACCAAAATCGGCTGTTCTTGGTAGGGGTGTAAAGGGGTCGTCGGCCGTGTTAATTGCTGTTGAACTTGTCGATGGTAACCGAGTCCTGTTGAACTTGTCGTGGTATATGTCATAGCCGGTACCGCGCTTGGCTGGACCCCCTTAGTGAAACGAATAAGTCGCTGGTCTTTTCCATCGCAGGTATCACAACGTCAACACGTGGAAGGCCGACACGTTTCATCTCTTTTTCGTATTTCGATAGGGAGGAGTGAAGTCATGGCATGGACGAGCGGCCCGTGGAGGGCTCGAAAATGGGGGAGTGTAAAGCAATGTGCCTTGGTTTCCTGTAAATGGTTGGCCATGGTGTAGCATCTCGCCTCGTCCATCGACAACTGGTGCAGGGCCGACGAGGTTGTGTTTCCACCAATGCGGATCTATAGCGAACGGCCGTGGTCCCTCACACTGAATCGTTTTCCTGAATGCGATGTAACGAACCCACTTTCACCGTGTGGCACCGTCCCTCGCCAAACCGACCCTCCCCTGACTACCCTCCAATCACGCCGTCTGGCGTCCATCGGGCCTCCTGGCTACTGGCTGGCGGCACCATCCCTTGCTCTTCTGAGTTCATGTTAAATCGACTTTCGCAAAAAGCGCATGGTATCGTCCCGCGTCGAGATCAACCCCTCATATTACCGAACTCCAACCTGCTGGCCCAGTTGAACCTTGTTCACTCATTTCCACCTGCGCGATATCGCCCGTCGCCGAGCCAGCCTCCTTCTCCCGCCTTGCCATTCTGATTCACTCAGACCTCTTGGCAGGAGTGTTTCTTGACCGCCCCCTGCCCATGCCTTGTCCGTGTTTATCTGGCATCCCCCACCGCCAACTCAGCCCCTTCCCCGGATTTTTCTCCTGTGATGCCATCGGACGTCTTCTCGAGCTCCTGTGTGTATCACTTTCTGGTCTCCTTATCCATGGCTTGATCACGCACGCTGACCTGCGTGGCGTCTCGCCTCTAGCCGGATCCACCAATTCTTTCCTCTACCATTCATCACGCATTCACCCGCACTCCAAGTGTAACCAGTCCCCAGCCTTTGAACGCGTCTCGAGTTCACGTTCCGAAAGCTGCAGGGAGAACTTGAAAGGTGTTCTGATCTATCGCCTTCCCCGAACCCTTCTCGCGGACTGCGATCTCGTTTCCCTCAGACTTGTGGTTGGACGAACAAAAAATGGGCAGGAGGTGGTATACGCTGAAGCTCGGAGGAAAGCACGATGGTATGCATGACGGGAGGATGCCGGGGAAAGGGCTGGGTTGACGTGGAGGTGTGCCACTCACAAGAGATGAGTGAGCGAACACGGCTTGAACAGGAAGGCCGGGCATGGGTAGCACCATGAGCTCGGAGAGGCGCGAGTCGGCAGGGCGGGAGGACGGTCAGAAAGGGGGTTGGAGCAATACCATCCCGCGGTGGCAATGAATGAGCGAATTGACAAATATGTCGCTTCACTCCGACTTCCTGGCAGGACAGATTCGTGGTCTTCCTGCCCACGCTCTGGCAGCGCATTCTCCCCCGCGTGGCATCGCTTCTACATTAGATCCATCCACTTTCCTTCTCCAGCCATGCCATCTTGCTTCCCTCCGACCTCCTGGTTTCACTATTCCCTGCCCGCCCAGTCCGGGTCGAGTTTACATTTCCGGAACCCTGCATGGAACCTCTAAACGCCGAGAAGCAACCCATTCCCGACCCTTCTCCCGGAATGCTATCTTGCGTCTACCCAAGCTAATGGCTTTGCCCATATCTTGGATTCCGATTATTTTTGCGTTCACTTTCGGAGCCTGGCTTGGCATCCGCCTTCGCCGTCCCAACCCGTTCCGCGACCCTGCTCCCGCCACGCCATCTCGGTTCCGTCAGACCTCCTGGACATGAAAAACAATACTTCCCTCATTAACTTAGACTGCACGTAGAGGGGCTTCTTGCATGCATGCATGCCTTGTTCACGCCTCGCCCATTCATTCCCACCTGCATCGGCAACGCCCCCTGACGAACTACTGTAGCCGCTTCCCCGATCCATTTCTTGCCATCGCATTTCGCGCCCACCCGACCGAGTTGCTCGAGTCCCCGATTCCTTGCATGGCTGGGTCCACACGACTTGTTCCCTCACTCTCACTAGCGTGGGATCGCTCCTCGCCAGATCAATCCCTTCCCCGACCTCTCTCCTGTCGTGCCCTCTCCGGTCTACCCGATCTCCTGGATAGACCAACTCCGTGCCTCCCTCTGCACGCCTTCTTGTACTCTCATCCGAACCAGCCTCTTCCCCACCCGTTTTCCCGTCATGCCATGTCCATTCGAGGCCCTGACTAGACGGATGCCTTGCTTCTCAAGACTCGTGACGACACATGTCTGGCTGGCATCGCTCATCCCGTATCTATCTAAACCCTTCTCGCCATGCTATCAGCGGAGCTCCTGGGAAAAACGGTCCCATGCCTCCCAACCAAGGCGGTATTCACTCACTCTCACATTCGCGGCATCCGTGCTGGCTTTTTCAGTTCCTTCTCCCACCCTTCTCCTATGTACCATCTACTGTAGCTTCCATCGGGCTCCCGGCTACACCGATCCAGTGCCATCTCGGTTCGATCTCATGCCCCCCTAACTCCTCCATCCCAAAATTTGGCCTTGTTCGCAAACTCATATTCGATGGTAATCAATTTTCGCCCATCTTTCCCTTTTCCGACCCTTTTCCGGCCGTCCAATCTCGCTTCCCGCCACACTCCTCCCTACACTCCGATTCCTTGCATCTGAACCGAAGCTGTATTCACTCATCCGTTTCGGCGTGGAATCGCTGGTCCCCCGATCCTTTTCCGGCCTTGCAACCTATCGTCCGGCTATGGTCTTGTCAAAACAGCTTCCTTGCCTTCCAATCGAAACCGAGATTCAGTCACAGGTTCCTGCGTGGTATCGCTCGACCACTCCCTTCGCCTACTCTTCTCTGGCCATGACATCCAAAGTCTAATGGAGCTCCAGGGCTCAGCGGCACCTTGCCTTCGATTCCACCACATACGCATGGATTACTCATTCTTGTTTTCGTTGCGCTCGCCCTCGCCAATCCAGCCCCTTCATTAACTCTACTTCCACCATGCCACCTCCCTTCTAGTGGAGGCCCTGGGTGTATCCAGTACTTGCCTGCCAGCCCATCGACTCTCACTTCCGTGGCATCCGTACTTGCCAGTACAGCCCCTTTCCCCGATACTCACCCCGACTTGCCATTTCCGGCCCATTGTAGGCCCTGTCTACACCGGTTCCTTGCCTTTCCCAACCTAATCGGTATTCACTCTCACATTCCTGTCTCCCATCGCTCGTCCCGTAGACGTCCCTTCCCAAAACCTTCTCCCGCAGCTCCTGGCCAGACATACCCTTGGCCGTCTCGTCCCAAAAAGCGTCCATACTCACTCTCACCTTCGTCACATCCGTCCTCGATATTTCAGCCCCTTCCCGACCCTCGCCCGCCATGTCATGTCGCGTTCGTTCATGCTCCTGGCCCGCCGATTCCGTGACTCCCAACCCACGCCTGCTTCACCCACTGTCGCCACTTGCATCCCTCCTGCCCTAACCAACTCCTTTCCCGATTATTCTCCGGTCTGGCCATCTCTGGTACATTCCAGACTCTGGCTACATAGAGAGTTTGCTTACCCAGCAGTGCGGACTTTACTCCCACTTTCCTACGTGGAATCGCTCCTTTCCTACGAACCCCTCTCCCGTCATGCAGTCTATGCTCCTGGCTATACCCACTCAATTCGTGCCCACTTTGAGCCACCTCTCTGTCTTGGACATCGGTGCTCGAAACAGCAATCCCTGCCCCAGACTCTTTCCCGTCATACCATCTCGCGTGCTGCAACACTCCTCGCATTAACGTGTTCTTTGCATCCCAACCAAAAGCGGCATTCACTATCGTAACACATTCCTGCGTGGCGTCACTCCTCCAGGACAAACCTGCCCCGACCCTTCTACCGACACGCCATCGGGCGCTCGCTTCATCAATTCCTGGCCTCTTGACCCACATCTTCTTCATTCGCTATTTCCTGCGTGGCATCGTTCTTGGCCAGAACAAGCCCTTCTACGACCCGTCTTCCGAAATACAATCTCCCTACCAACCGATAGCTCCTGGCTCCATGCAGGTGGCTCCGCGCAGTTCTGGCCTCCAACCGAACGCGGTATGAACTCACACTTTCCCTTCAGGGACATCGCTATTCTCGTTGCAACCCCTTCCCCGACGTTTCTTCCACCATGCATGCCGTATCGGGTCCTGCCAAACCCATGGCGGAACCAATTATTTGCCTCCCAACCAACAAACATTCACTCACACGTTCTTGCGTGTCATCGCTCTTCCCGCTACCAACCCCTTTCCTGACGCTCCTCCCACCGTGCCTCTGGCGTTCCGCTAAATGCAGAGCTGAATTATCCCTTACCTCCCGCCCCATGCGTTGTTCACTCACACTCACCTCAACGACATGCGTCCTGTCGCCAATCCAGCTATTCCGCGGACCTTTCGCCCGCCGTGCTGTCCCCCGTCCATCCAAACTGTGGCGACGCCAATTCCATGCTTCCATCCCAGCGAGGTACATATTCCCTCACGCTTTTCCGTGTGGCATCCCCCTCGCATGACCACGTCATTCCTCAACCTTTGTCCCTCCATGCCCCCTCACGTCCCACCGAGCCCCATGCTGCACAGACATGTTGCAGCCTAGTCCATGCCTTGTTCATCGCTTCCATTTGTTCGAGAGGGCAACCACAAAGCTGCGAGAAAATGCTTCACAAGGGGGTCCTCGCATCTCATCTGCGTCGCATACCCCATCGCCGAACCGACTCCCGACCTCTCTCCACCATTTCCATCTCGTGTGCCCCAGAGCTGCTGGAGACCCCGATTATTGGCCCCTCTTCACGCCTTGTCTACTCCCTTTTCCCCTTCGTGGAATGTTTCATCGCCAGACCATTTCCCCCGTCATGCCATCGGGCGTCCCTCGGAGTTCCTGCTTCTACCAGTTCGTCGCGTCCCTGCCCGCGTCGATATACCCACCTTCCTCCATTTTACAACGCACCTCACCCACCCATCTTCTTTTGTTGAGGTGTTCGGCGGACGACCAAACGCGCACACCCTAGCAGTCGACCCTTGTGGGGATATGTAAGTCGTGTTGACATGTACGGAGCCCAAGCAGAGGTTGGCCACAGAGCTCAAAGCACAGGGGGCTCCGAAACTGCCAAATCATCAGATAGCACGGATACCCCCCTCCCGTGTACACCATTTTTCGACCGCCATGTACTCCAAACAGCCACCCCTGCTCGGTGCGTGGTACGATCACGGAGACTTTCCGAACCTTGCCCGGGTGGAATGGCAACAAAATCGAAACACAGCAGACCTATCTCCCAAACTCTTGATCCTGCCTCTCAAAAATCTCCACAACCTCTCAGTGTCTACTTTACGGAACTCCAAACTTGCAAAGTTTCGATGATGGTGCGTTTCCTTTCCTTCAATTATATCTTGCATATCAACTATTCAGAACATTATCTCCAACAAATACAACTCCAACACACCAAATTCCATGTCACGCTACATACACGATGAATGACCAATCGCGAGGGCAAACCCATTGTTTGGAAAACCTCAAATAATCAAACGCAGTCCACACACACCACATTTCCCTAACGATTTCTGGTATCCAGCCCCCCTGTTCCAACTGCTCTCAACTCTCATCAGGATCCGCAGGGAAATCGCGGGAACCAGAAATGGTGCCATCGAAACCTTGACGCCATCAAGAGTGACTCCCTCTACACCCAGGTTTCTTACCTACCTGGCTTTTATTCTTGCGCCCTCTTTCCCCGTAGCAAAGGCAGGCAGGCAGGAAAACCAGCTATCGCAACTGCGTGCGAACAAGCACACACAAAGAGCCCTCTGGCTGCCGAGAAATCAAGCTAGATCTCGACACCTTCAACCACTAGTCCCGATTTCGAAATCTGGATGGAAATCAGAAATCAGGGGCCCAGTCTCTCCGCCCAGCTGCTCTGAAATCAGTCTCGATCTTTCGAAACTTGCCGAGAAACCAGCCTAGATCATTTCCCGACGACACACCGTGCTCTACTCTAGACAGACCCCTTCTCGCCTTTCGTTCCGTGGTCGTGGTTGTGGTGCCTTGTCGTCCTTTCCTAGAATCATCGTGTCATGGTGGCGGGGGGATGGAAGATCATGACTTGCTTGAGGTCTTGCCCACCAGGGACGATACGCAAGGAAAACGGATCGACCTGCAAAAAGCAGAGTGGGATGGAGACACGGGGGCGCGTGAGGGGGCGTCAGCCGCTGCGTCGCTCATCGCCCCCGACAAGACGAGCGAGCCACAACGACCGGCGGAACTGCTGCCGTACTTCTGTGCTCTAGCATGCGCGTTGAAACGACTCCCGGTAGCAACAAACGAGCCGGCTTACCTGCTCTAAAGAGAAGCGAGCTACACGCGTGAACCGACTCGGAAACATAGGAAGACGCAACGAGTTATAGGATTTTCACTCCAACCCAAAGCTTCATGCAAGCAAAAACACGGGTAGCCAACGGGAGGTTGTAACTGGTGCCCAAACTCCCGGGGGTCAGGTTGCGACGTTGGGATCGACCTTGGACAACATGTAGTCTATGCCGCCATTCGGCCCTATTTATTCACGCCGAAATCCGTGATGTAGGGCTAGCTGCAAACGTCGGCGTACAACCGGACCCTCGGCACGTTGTGGGGAGGTTGTGCACCAGATACAACCTTCCTTGCCCACCCGTGAAGAACTGCACACGTGCAAGTATTACCGAGTCGTCGTTTCCGACCACCGATAGGATTTTCACCGCAAGCCAAGGCTTCGCGCCAACCAAGAACTACACACATATAGGTGCTACCGAGTCGTTGTTTCCGACGACATGTAGAACTTTCACCGTAAGCCAAAAATAAGCTTCGTGCAAGCCAAGAACTGAACACGTGTAGGTGCTACCGAGTCGTCGTTTCCAACGACTGATTGGGTTTTCACCGCAGGACGAAAACAGCTTCGTGCGAGCCAAGAGCTGAACATATGCAAGCGCTACCGAGCGTCCTCGCACAGAACGATACTGCAATGACTGATATGATTTTCACCGCAAGCCAAACAACAATCTTCATGCGAGCTACTGTAACTAGCATATCAATATATATAGGTGTTCCCGCGTAATCTCTACCCCATACATACAGTAGAAGGTTTCTTGCCTACCTGTCTTTTTTCGCCCGCTTTCCCCAAAGTCAGGCAAGGCAGGCAGGAAAAACCAACTGCTGAGTACGTGTCGCAACTTCGTGCGTTCGAGCGAGTAGCAAGTGCACAGAGAGGTTCAGGACGATGACATCGCTGCGGAAGCCTTGGCTCGCTGGCGCCGTGTCACACGGGGAAAGGGAAAAGGGCGTCCGACGCAAGTCGTCGTCAAGCTGAGCGGGGTGTTTAAGCCTGCAGCTTACACCCCACACAAAGGCGCACCTCGTGCGGCGTCTGGTGTGGGCCGCGTGACGATGAAGGACGCGGACGATAACAAAGGTGACTGACTTGTGCTTTGGGACATCGCCCATGTTCGTCTTGTGAGCGACTGGAAATCACCTCCTGCGGCAGCAGCACCTTCAGCGAATGAGAACACAAGCGCAGCGTACGACGACAACGCTCAGTTCTACGCTTCCCCGAGACCTTCGTACGTGGTGTGCTCACAAGTTGTGAATGCCTCCTTCCCTTCTCCCTTCGGTGAACATTGTGCCGAACAACGGCATGGGTTTAAGAAGCTTTTTTTCTGACCCACCTTTCCACACATTTTTTTTTCGCGTGTTTTTTTCGCAGATGATGAAGATTCGGACGACGGCGATGACAACGAATACGATGGTCATGACTGCGGCGACGTTGGTAGTTCCGGCCGTAGCGATCACGGGGTTGAGGCAGGGGGCGAGGCCAGGGGCGGGGGAGGTGGACCCGGGAGCGGGGGAGGCGGAGCCGGGACCGGCGATGATGTCGACATGCATGACTGGGTGAGTGGTTATCAACGTGTGAGTGACAGCCTCCTCCTAGGCTGGTTATTGTGCGAAAGGTGCTCTTTTTTTCATCCGGCATTCGAACATCGTTGTTCGAATGTCCATTGATACGGCTGTTGTCGGCCAACTGTATCAGCTAGGTAACGGGCAGTCTGCGCTGAAGGTTCGCCTGGATATCTTCCACGGCCTCCAACGCGTGTCAAAGCTGTGCAAGAAGAGCCACGGCGCCTTCAGGCCCTTCATGGCTCGACTGAGAGATGCCTTACTTCATTGTCAACTGGATGACATCAAAGAGGCAAGTGCTGTTGACGTTGTCGTCATCGGTCTGATCAAGACTTTGACAAGGCTTCAAATGTCGGCATTCACATTGTGTGCGCCTAGTTTGTGTATGCTACAATGACTGACATCCAATTTCGTTTCAAACTGCAGGTAGAGCAGGCCCTTGGATCCAAAGGAATGATACCAGAAGCCGTTGCTGAGTACAAGGACAAGAACTGGACGTATTTCGTTCGGAATTGTCGGCGGCTGGTGCCGGAGCAGAAACGATTGCTCGAGCGCTTCAATTTGGTGATTAGTCAGTTCCAGAACGTAGTCGATGCGAAATCCGGAGAAGAACTTCTTCGGCCTAAGGCAATGCAGGCCATCGTTCAGCTCGGATCTACGAATGGATCTGGACTCCTCGGGGATCTTTGCTGTGCGCATCACGCATCTACCTTGCCTGCTGTATCTTTTGTCGTCGACTGAGAGTGGCGACGGACCATGTAGACACTAAGCGTGGCCCCCTGTAGCTTCTACAAGACGTGGCTGGAGCTTGCCAAAAGAAAGGCGGACCAGAGACGTCGTGGGTGGGCTGTTCTCGTTTGTGTTTTCGGTCGATACACCAAGCAGAGCGTGGATTTCGGTGTGAGCATCTGCCGTGTCTCGACTTCCGTTCTGTGGAAAGTGGTGGGAGACATGATATTCCTACACACACAGCGGGAGCAGTCTTGTAAATGATGACGGATGAGCGGACTGGTCGGCGGTTAGGATAATTTGATTCAAAAGCCACGCAGCGGCTGCTCTCTAAATGGCTGCTTGTTGATGAACATTGACTCATCTTCCCGTTGTATCCACAACCGACGCTTGTAACCGCAGACAACAAGGGTGCACAGCAGAGCGAGAATCCTCCTGGGCTATTAGCTAGCTACGATGATGCAGGACTTCGCCGACGGCCATCGCCGGTGGTAGAAGAATGTAGAAGGTTCTTTGAGAGGCAGGCACCCGAAAGAACGTGGCTTTTGTTTACGGCTCTCTTCATGTGATTGATTGTGGTGAGATCCGCTCACGCGCCACAATCAAAGACGGCAAGCCGGCAACATGGACAGCGGCGATGTGCCTCTCGTTCTTCTCGCAGCCGCACTCTCAACGCCCGGCCGAGAGGATCAGCAGAGAATCCTGAGCGCTCTGAGAGAGGGGGAAGCAAAAGAGGTTATACAGTCTACACATACATCATGCAGGTTTTCTTTTCTCGCCTGATAAATCCACCGCTGGCTGCCGCAGCTTCCGTTGGAAACAGGTTCTCTGCCGAGGTCTGCATCTTCACGCCTGGATCGGGGTCTGGAACCTGCGAGAGGACGGCCGTGTAGTGCTGCGATGTTTGGTTTTTGGGCACAGCTCGGTCGTGAGCGCGCTTGGTCGTCTGGGTATGGGCGTGGGAGAGAGGGGACCACTTTTTTTTCCCGTAGCATCCATCCACCGTACGTGCGAGACGGTAAAATGGGCAATAGCCTCCCCCCCCCACCTTCTTCTTGCGCGGGTTGTTACGAGACACAAAGTCCTGCGTCTGTCGGAGTATCTGTCACCGACACTACATAATCGACTGGTGGAGTGTGTGAATAATTTATATATTTGTCTTGCACCTACAGCAGCAGACAATACATACTCCGGAGTACTATGGTGGCCGGTTGTAGCATCGCTCCCCCCACTCCGAGAAAATACTTGAATACATGCGTAAATCAAGAAGCGACACGCGTGCCAACATTCTTCACCCATTCCACTCATTGCGCTACTTTCATCACAAGAAAAATACATCCGTGGTATTGCGAAGCCCTCCCCCATTGATAAAGTCTTTCTCTTCTCGTGAATTACGTTGCAGCTACACGATGCAGTACTGTGGTTAGCGCCGGCACTTCAGAACCTGAGGAGTTATGAAATTCAAGAAAGAAAACTTAAGAACATGGACAGAACGGGTGCTCAGTCGAGAAACCTACCAGAACACCAAAACCTGCATGTATATCGAGTAATCGCGGTTGGGGCACCCAACAGAGAAGAATAGGAAACGAGCCTCGGCCTAGGAAACATCTTGAATGCGGGCGCTAAATGTGTTTGTTGCTTTTCAAGTAGCCTTACGAGCACCCTCTTTGTTCTACAAGGTTGTATCAGCGGATAAAAGGATGCGAATGACTCACGTTGGAACCTGCCCTCGCGAACGTTGACTACTCATGGCGACTACTCATGGCGGCTACTCATGGCGGCCTGTACCTTGCCTCTCGGAGGTCCGGTCTTGGCTTGATTGTGGAGCTCAGAGTAACGAATACCGGTCTCACTACGTTCGAATAGCACAGCTAGCTGCTTGTGATACGAAGGAGAGTGGGACAAGTGTAAGCGTGATCGTCGGCAGGTTTCTCGCTTCCAGGTGGTTTTGAGTGATGATGGATGATTGGTAGACGTGTCAGGCCGAGGAGCCTCCTCGACAAGACGTAACTGTTGCTCTTCGTCGAAACGTGCGGCTCGACCACCGACGCTTCGACACCCTTTCGGAAGAAGTAAGCACAACAAGATGCCGCACACCCTTAGCAGGATGCAGCGCGCCCTTAATGCGACTCACCGAATACCTCACGGCGCTTCGCGCTTGGTGAAGTGCTAGCCTGGCGTGCTCCGTCCCGGCTTTGTAGGGATGTGAGGTTCGGTGTCTAACGGTTCCGGCATGCACGACTATGAGCAATGAGTACGACCCCCCCGCCCAGGGCGAAGGGGTAGACGACCACCCACTGAGTGGGCTAGATTTGGAGGCTGCTCGATGTTGGTTTTGGGATTCTCCAAGAATAGGAAAGAAGAGATACGAAGACGATAGACATGTGTACAGATTCTCAAGGAACAATGATCAGGAGAGGGAGGGAGGGAGAGGGAGATCGGAACGTTGTAAGCGTGTCGGATGTCTTCTGCCACAGGCCTGAACTCCCTAAATTTCACGACCGGTGGAGAACAGCCGGGAAGGCAAGACCTTCCATTCCGTTTGGCTTGAAGCATGGTACACGGTTGGCCTCTGGTGCACTCCGCCGTGTGACATCGTTTGGTTGCGCAATTGCTCTCTTCGTTTGGTGGCTTCGTGGCACGCCGTGGAGCACTTCCCTTCGAAAGCATACTTCGACACGTGTACGAACACGAAGAAATATATATGTACTTGGCGGGTCCCCAAGGGACTCAGCTTTCAGGCATGAGAAGACCATCCCTTCCTTCCACTGGACGGTTCGTGATGGATCTCCGGATGAGGGGGCCGTTATGGATACCAGGAAGACCGTGCGGCTCAGCCACATGCAAATATGAAGTTGGACGGCTCGTAGCTACGGAATATGACCCGCGGACAGATCATAAATCACGGGTGGGTGCCTCCCCAACGGGATCGGCTGACATGTGACGGCCAGCTTGGGTCAAGGATTGATTGTGGTAATCTGTGTTCCCGGGTACGGGGAGTTTGTTGGTTGCGTGTGTATTCGAGGGGGGGTAATCTTGACCCCAACTCCCAATCACGAGTTTTCTCCTGAACAGGATACGTAATTTATTAATGTGCGAGGCGCTTTTTCTGAAAACCCGAGAGCTCAGAAGTTGGTGCCACACCGGACGTGATGGAGACGGAACTTTCTCAAGAATCTTGTCCCTTTTCGACTTTTGGGGCTGTCTTCCTCGCGAGCGACTTCGAACCAGCATTCTTGGGAAAGGGTGTATGTAGTCCGTCAGATTTCCCAAAATCACTCGCCTTTGGTTTCGCGGACGGGGTTTGTTATTTCGGCAAAGCCATATTGAGAGTGTTTTCCCGAGATCCTAGCTGGGTCATGTTTCGCGATATCTCGGCTCATGACTCTTTCGAGACGACGTCACGTGCAAGTCCTTTATTGAGTTCAATTCCCGATTGGAGCTTCGCTGGAAAATGTCGAGTTCCCTGGAAGGCACCGCAACACCAAATAAAATGCTCTCATTTGAACTGTTTGGGATAGAACCGCACAAATCGTGCGTAGTTTGTACCTCTACGCGTAGATGTGCGCCGCACCAATCGACCAACCACCGGAAGGCATCAGTCTTGTTTTAGGCCCTCAACACCTACGTTGCCCTACTCATCGCAAGCCAATGCAATCGTCTACACAAGCGTCACAGTTTTTGTATCTCCAGGAACCCCTGGGGCCGAGGAAAGTCTTCCAAGCACCCCCCCCCCGCCGGTTCCCCCGACCTTCCATGACAACAGGCACCTCCATGCGGGCCTTCTTTCGGCGCCTCCCCGATCCCAGCCGCTACAACACGATCACGAACGACGCGCCCGTGTCCTCCAAGAACCCCAGACCTTGGCCTTCCATCGCTGATTTCGCCGACGAATATCTCGAACTTGACGGACACCACCCCGCCCGCGGGGCACGCCAAGTACTCCCGAGCAGAACTCGCCAGCACTTCTCCCGCCGGGTGCTTGTACCGGCAACGGGTCGGATCCCCATAAGCTTCTTTGCCGTCGGCGGGGGGGCGGGCGACGGCGGAGACCGGTTTGTGAGCATCATCATGTTCTCCAGACGCCGCTGCCAAGGGCTCCCTCCGGCGTGAGGAAAAGCTGTAGACGGGGTCCCCGTTCAGGTATACCTGGGCGTAGAAGCGGTGCGGAGCGGCGTTGGGACGGGGCTGAAGTGAATGCAATGGGGGGCGGAACGAGAGCGGTCGACGAAAGGCAGCGTTGTGTGGCATCACGTGGAAGGAGGTGTGGGTGAAAGAACCTTGATCGTTGTAGTCCAGCTACAGGAAAACAAGGGTCGACGGGTCGCGGTCCGCCTCACCGTCGCCACGAAGGGGATCTGAGAAAAGAAGCCGCAGGAGAGGAGGTACAGTCCCGGCACCACGGCGGTCACGCTTGCACATCCGGGTGTCCACTGATGGGGATTTCCGCAGTGCACCGCCGTAAAATTGGGCCCACGCGCGGGAGAAGAAATTGGAGAACGGAGAGGGGGGAAGCAGTTAGGATTTGCAACAGAGTGGCGGTTGGGATCAATTCGAGGCAGCTACTCTAGAACAGGTAGACGTGACGACTACAGAGCCTACCATTCTTCAGCATACTTCTATTGGTCATGAAAACAGTATATGCCATGCGTCCGACCTTCAAGCGCTCGGGGGACGCGTTCGCCGCCTCCGCCTCCCACGGCACCCATATCCCGCCACCGCGGCCGCCGCCGCCGCCGCCGCCACCGCCACCACCACCAGCGCCGTCCACCTGGGAACCGCCGGGAAGCGGGATCCCAGCCGAAGAGAGGCCTCCACCGTCGCCGGTGATGCCGGCGCCGTTGTTTCCCACGCTGTTCCCAGTTGCCGCTGCTACCGCGGCCGCGTACGCCGCCGAAAAATTGACGCCTCGCCAGAGCCAGCGTCCGAGACTGAGGGATCGGGCCACCCTCAGCTCGAGGTTGGACTGCGCGGCAAAGAGACGCTCTACGTGCGGCTGGCTTACCGCCACCTGTCGTGTGCGTCGGGAACCCCGGCCAAAAGAGTACGCGAAACACACAAGGTGGGGTATGGAAGAGAACGGGATGATTGGTTGTTTTCCGCACATTTTCGCCAGATATTGACATGTTGCTGAACTAACTACCTATTAATACGAAATCTAGAAGGTTGTGCAACCCAGGATGGCAAAGGGTGGCAAAGGAAGAATGGGTTTCGCGGAAGGATTCTGGATTGGGATATTTCCTGAGTTTTGTTTTATCTGGTTTTTGCTTTCGCGCGGCAGGCCCTCTGCAACACAAATGCCCCAGGGAAGCAACGATGACGCATATTTTGCGTAGATTCGAAATTCCAGGCCGCGCAGGTCCTCCCAACAACTCTCGACTGGCATACATCTCGAGGCTAACCCAACGCCTGATGACCTGGGTTTAATCACGCTCCCATGTTCTTGGCAGGGATCACTCGTACCGCGGGCATGCAATTCGTACGCGTTTCCTGCAATAATCCCTCCTTTACCTACCAGGCATGTCATTCGAGGAAATCGCTCATTGTCATGCTTCTCGGCCGCAGCCTTCAGTGATTGTATTCTCAGCAAACGCTTCGGTACACCCCTTCGATAAAACAAAAAACTGCTAAGAAGCCTAACACTCGATATGTGATGGATTTACTACGAGCGGATCGCTGGTAGTTACCGACGCTATCCTTTTCGACGAACCTACTTCGAACACGTGGCACACACGACAAAAAGAGAGCTATTAATAGTTGGGCACCCGCTGGTGGGCACCCGCTCGCTTGCTTAGTCGTACCGTCGACCTCTGGAGCCGGTGGTTTATGTTGCTAATGCGCCGGTCCAGCCCGTCCGCGGTTGTGGTAGCCGAAGCCAGCGCTCTAGCGGCGCACTCTTCCGCTTGTACGGAAGCCTCTTCGCTGTTTTGTGAGTTCCAATGCCACACAGGATTGGAGGGGGGAGGGGAGGACGTCAATGCAAAGGGAGTGATAACGAGGCTCGATTCGAATACGTAGCCAATGGCGGAGGGTCATGACAGCGAGGCATTCCGAGGGATACTCGGTAGTAGAGGCATGTGCGTCAGGGGCGCTTTTGCTCTGGTGCTTTGTGTACCGTGTAGCTCAATCAAAAACATGCATCGGAGCTTCGTCTGAGCACGCCCCCCCCGCCACCAATGTGATATCAACCTGCGGTCGAACTTCACAGCCGAGAGCGTGGATTTCGGGTACAGAGCTACACTCGTGTCCGAAGGCGAACACAGCAATAGTCAATCAATCGAGACAGATTGACTACCACCGGGACGCACCGGGTTATCTTGTCTGAGATGCCCGCGCGCTTCAGCTCTGCCCTGATCAGCAGCCTGGCCTCCTCCCTGCTCAGACCGCCCCCTCCCCGACTCGGCAGTGAATCGGCCCCCCGTTCCTTGCCGCTACCATACTGAACAGCGCCGACTGCTCCTTGGGAGTGAGAGGTGGAAGGATGATCGCCGCCGCCACCCCTGCCGTCGCCGCCGGCCTCACCACCGCCGTTCCGGTCGCCGTTCCGGTCGCCGTTCCTAGGCCGAAGGAGCGACGACGCGTTACCGAGGTTGGCTGGAGGAGGTGACGACGTCGAGGCCATGAGGTCCGGGGAGGCCCCGCCAGTCGCTATCGTTGCTGCGGCCGTGGCCTTCGCTGATGCTGTCGCCGCTTCGACCGCTGCCGCCGCCGCCCCGGTGACGGTCTTCTTTACCGCTATCAGGTCGTCAGAATCGGCCTGCGCCGATTCAGAGAGAGCTGGACACAATCAGTGATATTCCTTGTTTCTCTGGAGCTGGCCTTTCGCCGCGAGGCATCACGGTTCTTGGTTGACTGCCGCCAATATTGAGCAAGACGCATGGAGTGAAACGTCAAAGCTGAGCCACGCTTGCGAGGGCTGACCCTCGGTTCTCTTCTACACGCGATCTTTTTTCTCTCTGCTTGGCTTAAGAGGCGGCCGGAAAGCGCTGGTGAAGGGATTGTTAAACGTCCAGCTGCTGAGCCTAGCCTACCTTAGGGGATAGGCCACGTCATTGCGGCCCCAAGTCTCGCAAGCGCGCATAGGTCTGTATCATGCATACCTTGGCCAAGAGACGGCTGGAGAGCCTTTCAACGTCAAGCCTCAGCTCCCCCCTTAGCCCGCAAACCTCGCCGGAAAGTGCCGTCAGCGAGTGAACCGTTCTCGCAGAGGTTTCGCGGTGATCTGATCCGTCCACCTTCAATCCAGGCGAATGGTTTGCGTGGGAAGGGGCGAGTGGGGGGCTAGTGGGAAATAGGGAGAGAGGGAGGGTGGCCTTCAACGTACTGTCCACGACGTACTGCATCACCACGTCAAAGAACCGGCGGAATGAATCCCCCCAAATCCAACGAGTCACTAGAGACTGGAAGAATTTACGAAGGATGACAGGAAGAGACTTGGCCTACCCAGCGGCACCCTCGATCACAGTAGCGGGGACAACCACAACACCACCGAAACGGTTGCGTAGGTAGGGCCGGCAACAACGAACAACGCAGACTCAAGTTCCATCCCACACACGTGGCAGCAACACCACAAACCTTGGTCTGGACGAGAGCTGCGAGGCTGTGCAAGTCCTTGCTGTCCGCCTTCCCCTGAAGCAACAGGGACACGTCTGCCTTGTACGCCTGTGCGCGGGAGAAGACGCCAGCGTGGACAGCGTAGGTTTGCCCCATGAGGAAAATATTTGTGAAAATGTACCGAACGCTGCCTGTCGGGGTAGACATGAACTTGTGAAAACTTGCGTAGGAACCGACCCGGTCAGGTCGGCCACACCCTCCAAATCCATCCCTAACCTCAACAACACTGGTGTTGTCAGCAAGAACTGCTGTCCATACGTGTGTGCAAGGAACTACCTGTTCCCAACCCAGATGAAAGCCTCTCACTCCAAAACACCTTGGCGTTGAGGAGGGACACGAGCTCTTCCTTGGCCTGGTCCAAGCCCTTGCCGAGCCCCTCCGCTCGTGCCCGAACGCGGCTGACGCTCTCGTCCAGCTCCAGCCGCAGCCGTTTCACCTGCAAGAAGCAGGACAACACGCAACAGCATGGAGGCGACACTTGAGTGAGCAGTCGGCAGTTCAGAGAGCACAGATTCCAAGTGTGCGGAAAGCACGACGCAACTGTGTAGCCATCGGTGGCGAAGCCTGGTCGAGATTCCCTGCACACGCCACAAAATGCCTTCCACGAACCTGCGGAACGGTTGCTGGTGCCCAAAGAGGGAGACAAACACCGAGTGGAGAAAGGAGAAGGCCGTGAGTTGGTGCGTCCTCTCCATGTGAGGTTTCAACACGGCGTTTTGTAAGACATGTGCTGTAGCGGGTCCAGTTGCTATTGGGCCGTCCGTTGCCTGGTAACTCGATAGTTCGGACGGTGAGGCTACACAAACCGAACAACATCTAGCACAGGTTTCTCGCGTTTGGGGGGGATCCTATGCACAAAGATCCATACAAATCAGAGAGGATGGAGGACGACGTGAGAAAGTTCCGCCTTCGGGGGATCACTTAGAGTGGTGGCTTCCGTCTCTACACCGTAGACCCTAGCAAAAAAAACAAAAATGGAATGGAAGAGTCGGCGAGAGGAGCAAACCTACGGACCTCACGAAAAAACTAGTACTAAAGGTACAAACAGACGTATCCTGCAGCGCCCTCACCTGAGAGAGTAATTCCTCTTGCTGGGCGCCGCGAGCACGCGCAAGCTGCGCCTCCACCGTGCGGAGTGTGCTCTGACAAGACCCGAGAGAGGGAGAAAGAAGAACATTAGAGAGGTGCAACGTGAGGCAGGGAACAAAAAATAATATAGAGCCGTGTAATGCGTCCTGGCACTGAAACAAGTAACCCAGACGCGGTTACAGCTGCTCCCATCACGCTGGGTACCGCTGACAGGACAGGGCGTAGGGAGAGACAAGTGTTTTGGGGGCATGGCCGTGTTTCCCAGGAAATGACAATCATGCTCAGCTTCATTTACAACAAGGACATTGGCACTTGCCATCAACACCCACACACACCTCTCGGCCCGCCGACACCGCCGCCTGAACCTGCGAGGCGGAGATCCCCGAAGGGGAAAAACCGTCATCCTCCCCTCCGCCGCCATCGCGGCCGTCTCTGAGACCGCGAAGGCATGCCCGAACTAGGCCCGGGAGCTCGCCCCGCGTCACTGGTGAGGCTGCACGTTGTGTGTTCGGTTCAGTTCGAGTTTTGAGGGAGGAAGGGAGAAGGGTTGGGTGGCGGCGATTTCGACATCGTTGTGCATGATGCACCGTTGTGCCCAACCAGCAGCCTCGATTCAGGAACCGACAAGCTACCCGCACGTGCAGCTGAATCATTATGTCTCGCATCCCCCCTCTCGACCCTTCAATGGACACCCGGATCGACCCATTGCTGTATGCAGAAATATCCACCAACCCCCCCCCCCTTCGAAAGATACAACGGAGAAGAAAGGCCTGAGGACTATCAGGCAGGGGAACTATCCTCTACCTCTTATCTCGCGCCTCCCGCCCGACACAATACTGCTCACCGTCCTACCCTCGAGAAAAGCCTCCCGAGTGACCCCTCATGAAGGCACATCTGTGCGAGACTGTTTTAGTGCTTCCTAGGACACCAATTCCTCCCGCAATCGAACAGCGAAGCACGTATGGTTTCTCGTGGTGCGCTAGTCCGTGCGGTGGAAACCAGCCCAAAACGAAATAGAAACACACAGAGAGCATAACTCGGTCGGGTCCTTGGGTGAGTGAGTTTCATGACGTCGGTTGTTGGTCATACCGGGGCTCCTCTCCGCCGCCTCTCTCTCCTCGCGAGCTCTCGCCGTGAGAAGGCGCTCCAGGGCCGGGGACATGGCTTGCACGTCCCCTGTTTGCTTCTCCACGAAAGCTCGAACCTGCGCGACGAGTCGGTTCGTTATTGTGTTGGATTAGTTGACGGTTTGTGCACGATAGCCGGAGTGCCCTAGTGGGAAGCCTCCTGACGACGTACGAACGTGTGGACACAAGCGTTCGGATGACTCGGAAGTGCTTGGAAGGCTAACGGAGGTCCCGTCCAGAACTGTTTGTGGCAGCAAGGTTTGTCTTCGCAAGTCAAGGATGAAGACCCCGATGTGGGAGGCACAGTTGATTCGTTAGCACAATTGTTAGTCAAGGGCGTCTAGGAGTATGGAGCTATGGACGGGGTGGGTGGGACATATACAACGCCACGACTACTAGAAGTCGTCAGTGCCTCAAGAACCGCGACTACACGAGACACCCAGGCGTTGCTACCGCCGTCACTATCGCCGTTGCCGCCATCACTCCCACGAAGACAAGCCTAACGGGAACACCACACCGAACGACGGTCATATCACTAGTATGCAGCAGCAAACTCAATAGCAGCAGCAGCAGCAGCAGCAGGACCAGCACAAGGAATGCAGTGGAGGACACGTACCTCTTCCATACCCGCAGCCCTCGTCAGGCCGATCTCCACCCTCTCCAATGCCGCAGAAGTGGCGCAGTTGGCATCCAGCTCTGACAGCGCGCTGGCGTCCGCCTTGTCGCGAAGGAGCCGCTCAAAGTCCACCCAAGACACCTCGACAAGACAGACATATCATGCGGCACAGGAGCGTGGCTAGAGGTTCTTTGTGGCGGCGATGGTATCCGTACAATAGCGGCAGTATCCACACCCTTATGCTCCCGACGGCAAAAGGACCGCCAAGACAGACGTCTTGGGGCCGTGCGTGATCTCTTGCAAATTAACGACAGTCCTTTTCTGTAGGCAGCCACAGAAGGGTTATGCGGCGGTCTCGGCGGTGCCGTACGCCAGGGGTTGGGGGGGGAAGCTGCGGTGTATTGTCTGGAGTAGTCGTCAAAACTTTGTACATGGTGCACACGTGTCGAAACAAGCCGAATGGACGGGTAGGAGGTATGAGCACCCAGCACCTGAGTGAGAAAGATGATTCAAGAGGCCTCGTGCATGTGAGCTCGCACGATGATGCCCACGAGAACGGAGACCCAACAACGCGCAGCAGCAAACGTACGCTTTCGTTCATAACCCACGAGGGTTGTTCGGTTGACGATGGCCGTACAATAGAGCCATAGCGATGTCTACCTAGCTCGTCATGCACCACAGACTGCATGTTGCCGCACGACCAAAACAATAGCAGCAGGGGCAATCGTGCCCAAACACGTGTAGCGCGACCGTCACACACAACTAGCGCGACCGTCGTAATACAACATTCCGCCACCTACGGGCGCATTGCCCCGCACCTTGGTGGCCAGGTCGCCGTCGAGCGCTTCTCTGTCTGCCATTCTCGCCAAGCGGTTCTCCAAGTCTTGTAAGTCCGTTCGAGTGGCAGCCTCTTCGCGCGGACAAAACGCCTTCAGAAGTTACCATTGGACCAATGGACGCACGCGCAATAAGTGCAAAATCGCCCACGATGTCCTGAGTTGAATATGTAGTAGGAGCTTGCTCTACACCCACCGTAGGAAATGATTGACCTGCACACTACAGTTCGCGTGTTCCAAGTTGTGAGAGCTACAGGAGGAGTGTGGCCCTGCGCCCCCGACCGACAACACGTTCCACAAGAGACAAAACCGTTGACGGAACGTTCTGCAGCTTCTGCGAGTAGAGATGGTTTCACGTTATTTCTTGAGACGTACAGAGCAGAGGTTTTGGAAGGGGGTGCGAAAGGGACGAGAGCACGAGAACGCCGTTCAGAGAAGGGCGGAAAATGCCAGGAGACCAAAGGCAGTCTAAAACGTTTGCACCTCCTCGAGGGCAACAACCCCGCACTGGAATAGGGTCCCGGTGGTAGAATCGCGTTCAGGGGGTTCCGGGTCATCTCGATGTGCACTAAGACGTTGTTCAACGTTGTACCGGCCACAGCTACCCTGAGGTATCGAAAGTTCTCGACCCGTACGGGTAGGCATGCTCATGGTGGATGCTTCAGCCCTACGGTAGAGCGTGGTTCGGCAGGAACGTCTGCCATCGGAGGCAATATGGGCACCGCTCCAACAGAGCGTTGACGGCGAAGGAAAATGTTGTCGCAAAGACACGTTCGCGGCGCATCACGCACACCTCCAGGTCCGAGAGCCCCGCCTTTCCCGCCGCCGCCTGCCGCGCGGCTTCCACCCCCTTCCTGCTCTCCTCGCGAACCTCCGCCACAGACAGCTCCAGCTCTCGCGTCCTCTTAGTCACCTCCGACTCTAGCGTCCTGCAAGCCTCGCTCGCCGTCGACTTGGTGCGGCGAGTGTGTTGTTGGCGAGGGCGACGGTGTTTAAGGGGAGGAGATGGCGAGGGGTTGGCGAGTACTCACATTCTCCTTGCCTGCTGGTGCAACATATTGCTGTCGAAGAGACAAATCCTTTCGAGAAGCGGCACCATTCCCACAACAGAAGGACATTCCCATCAACTGCCCGGTGCAATGTAGACCTAGCATAAACGGCGCAACAGCACTTCCGGAGAGGGGGGGGATACTGTAGATGTACACATACCGCAAAAACCTGTGGGGTGGGGGAAGGACGACATGAAACATCCCTGCGACTGGGAAGCAACTTTAGTGTTTTCTCTATGCTGGTTTCTTCGCTGTTCGAGAAATGAGTAGCCCTCGCTGTTGCACCGTATGATTTCGGGAAGAAGGGTGCAACACCGATGCTGGTGCCGCTGCTGTACTGGAAACGATTCTGCAGCTTTTGGCGTTGAGCGCAACACCTATCGCGGTAGGCTCCGAAAAGCACAGCTTGGAAGACCTTCGCCACACCACAATGTGCATACCATCTGGTAGTGCCAATGCCTCACTATCTCTACGTGCAAACTGTCGAGCTGCTATGTATTTCTATATTGCGCCTTTGTTGCTGCCACTGCTGCTTCTGATTCTGCTGCTGACCTGCAAATCCCCAAGCCTCGGAACACGGTCAAGAGCAGACCTCAAGACATCCACTTCCTCCCTTGTGCTCCTAGCGTGGCTGTCCATACGTCGAGAGAGCTGCGCGAGTGTTGAAGGTACCGCACATGAGGTGTAAACTTTCCGGCACCGCGCTGCTCGAGTGGCTTCATGGACTAGCTGTACCTCTGCGAGTTCGTCCACTTCTTGGAAGTGGAAACATTGCCATGGTCGAACTAATGCGAAAAGACGACCCCCTGTTCAGCGTACTGTAAAAGTGGTTCTGATTTCGAACACACATATCTCTTTCTTGTCTGAGATAAATCCCTGCGGATATGCAAATACGGTACATGTGCTTACCATGTCTTCCATGCCCACGAGACGCGCTTCAAGCCGCCTCAACTCGCTTCTAGATGCCGCCAGCTGGTCGGCGAGGCCATGCGCCGTCGTTTCGACCGCTTCAAACCCTTGCCGCACCGGGGTCTGAACATTGGTCCAACCGCTGCCAGACAGCGCTTGCAGCTGCCGCGAAAGGGCGCCTACAGCAGGCAGCTTCTCAGAGTCCATCATGCGCCAGTCTCGTCGGCTGATAGGATCCTACGTTGTTAGGGTGGGGGATAGAGTTGGAGACGCTAGCAACGAAAACTATTTTCAGCCACGCCCGGATGCGCCAACAATCACCCTAGTCGTGTTCGAAATTGAGGCACTGCGAACCTGCCCAGCCTCCCACTTTCAACCGCGCCATGCCACAGAGAGAGTTGGATCCTTGAAAAACATCATTCCAAGGGGAGCTCCGTTCTATCTGCTGCCCCCAATCCCGAGCCCAGTAGGGGCTGTCACTCTCAATGGCTCTGAGGCAGCGATCACAGCAGTATCTTGGTCATGCCAAACATCGGGTTCGGCACGATCTGTTCTTGACGTCAATGGATTTTCGAATTGTGGCGGGGAAAATGCCCGTCACACTTCAAGAGATGGGACGCGTGTTTGTGGCCGCATACTGGATACGTTGTGGGTGTGGGTAGTGCGTAAAGCAGTATGGACGGAATTCCCACGGTTGTTTCTTCGGCTGCGTAACAGCAGTCGCTACGTGCTGTGCTAAGCCAGCTAGATTGCTGTAGCAAACCTGCTTGCGAGTGTATCGGTGTATCAGCAGTTGGGCATTTTGTATCTCGGCACCCAGGCTGCTTACCTGCCCCAAATCTACTTGTGGTGAAACTCGACTCGTATGCTTAGTGCGTCGTTCTGCTGGTTGTTCACGAGAGCCGTAGGTTGCATCCGGGGAGAAGGGGGCCACAGGCACCTTGCATAGATCATAGATCAAGCAACGGTGATGCATTGCGGCAAGGTGGACGCGGTTAGTTCTCCCAACTTCCCGAGCAGGTACATCGCGAATCGTGAATCTCGCCGCACAGAGGGAGAGGGCGACAAGGAACAGACGATAAGACCCGCTGAAGCAGGCAGAGAGGAACAAGGGAGGTTTTCCGGGCAAGGCTCTCTTCAAAGGGTCTTTCTACGCCGCCCAGGTGGGGGTCTGTTTGCAGGTCTCAAGCTTGGGGCAGTGGGGGAGCATAGACACACCGGCTTTGTGACGTTATATACCACACACCCCGCCCGCCCTAACGGCAAACATCTTCGAGTTTTAGGACGACTTGCTTTCGCTCAACAACACGTAGGGTGCTGGTGTATGACGGCGAACCAATGCTAGCTGTGTCTTCTTGCCTTTGCTTCGGAACGGCCGCGTTTCTGCTTCGAATCCCGCCTTGTTCGTAGAGAGCCAGACCCGTGAAGGGGGCTAAGACAGGCAGTACTGCACTACCGTTGTCGGCTTGGCTACAGTACATACCAAGTGGAGTCCTGCTTGTAGCCTGCGAAGACGTACTACTACTGCTGTTGTACCTGCTGTGGATACGTGCAGTTGCGTCACGCCTGTGTGTATTCTCGAGGCTTTCACTTGTGGCCTGCTCTCAAAGGGTGCTTGCGTGAAGCCACGGCTGTAACGCGCCACAACGCTTCGTATGTACCGTAGGCTACATTAAATGACCGGAGCATGGTACTGCAGTTCCCCGGTGGCCGAAATCTTCAAGGAAGTGAGGGGTGAGGGAGGCTTCTTTTGTACCATCCCATCGGACGTCTTACGATGATGTTGGGAAAATATTTTAAAAGCTAACCGTCTGGGAAGTGTTGCGGGAACAGCGGAAGCACCGTTCAAACGTCTGCTAGGGGCCCTAGGCTAAACTATACCTGTATCCCGTTGCAACCCCCAGCGAACAAAAGTCCGCAAAGCGAGCGGTGGAAGAGGTGGTAAGATGATCAGTCTCTACAAGTGCTCCCAGTGTTGTGAACTGCGCACGAACCCATCACCCTCTCTCTCTCCCTCTGCCTTGCGAAGATGCAGCCGCGGAACCAAGGGAATCTCCTGAGGGAATGCCCATGCTGCCACATACCCCTCCGCCCCGTTTTTAAACCAGCGGAGCCCCAGTAGGTGCTAATACTTGGTACCGTTACACAGGGCTGGCACCGAAAAGGCGGCAGCTGCTGAGGCCAAAATGTCTCCCAAGGCCAAGGGGGCACGAGGAAAGCATGGCGGGGGTAGCGGCGGCGGAGGCAAATCGGACGGGAAAAAGGAGAGCAGCGCCAAGCGCTGCAAGAAGTGCACCGCACTACTCCCAATGATGTACAAGATGAAGGACAAGCTCGCGGAGCTTCACCCGCAGTGCAACCAGTACAAAGTGAGTGTCCTGGCGGCAAAAAGAACCTCGGAAATAGTACCTGCAGTGGTGGTGTACGGCCGTATGTTGGTGTCCCTATTTGCGGCCGCACAAGGCCAAGGATATTTTGCTTGCAACGCTTGGTCGCAGAGTTGCTGCTGCGAGGATATCCCAACCCTGGTGAAAGTAATTGCACAGGTCCTAGGTGGCTCATACGGTAGATCGCCGGGACCCACACTTGCCCTTACTCTATCTCCTTGTGCTGGTCTCATCTTCATCGACAACCCCCCCCCTCCCGAACAAACACCAACGCACAATCCGAAGCCGCCATCGTCTGGTCGCTGTCTCTCTCATCGCATCTACGTATGCAACGACACGCTTGCCGGTACGCCTCTCACCGGCCGCGGTTGCCCACGTTCGTTTTTTGGTGATGATTCGCTGCAGCTGGAGCTCGAAGCTCTCAGAGCGGAGAACCAGGAGCTCCGGCGTCAGCTCGCGATGCCCGCCTCTGCAAGAACGCCGCCTGGGCTAACCGCAACCCCCACGGGGTCGACGAATTCGTCGGTGCCTGCCGCGCCGGTAAGACAGCGGGCTCTGGGCTCGTCTGCTACCGCAACAACAACAGCAGCAGGAAGAGGAGGAGGAGGAGGAGGAGGAGGAGGAAGAGCAGCAGCAGCAGCAGCAGGGGCACCGTCAAAGAAGGGAAGCAAGGGTGCCGCAGTCGTCGCCGCACGTCTGGACGCCGTCAGCGAAAAGAGGAAGACGCTAGCACCGTCTTCGGGTGGAACTCAAGGTGCGGGCCTCACCGCCAGTCTCGGCCTCGGCAGGGACGCCGCAGGCAGCGGCGGCGGTGGCAACAAGGGCGGCGGTGGCGGGGCAAGCGGCCCTGCGGGGTCGACAGCGGCGTTGACGGCGCCGGCGCGTAAAGACAGGTCGAAAGGAGAGAAAGTACGGGACTGGGCCGCTGCCGTTGCCCGGCGAAAACGAGAGAGGGGAGGAGGGGGTGACGGTGATGAGAATGGGAAGGGGGCGGCCGGTCGGGGTGGTGGTGGCGGCGGCGGCGGCAACGGTGGTGGTAGCACCGGTGATGTTGGCGGGGGTTGGGGAGGATTGGAAAAGGGTGGTGAGGATAGCGTGGAAGAAGAAGAAGAGGAGGAGGAAGACAAAACAGAGGAGGCGGCCGGGGAGTCAGGTGAGACGGTCAGAAAAAAACACTCCTCGAGCAGCGGTGGCGTCGATCGCAAGAAGGGCAAGGGTAAAAAGAAGAAGAGAGGGGAAGCAGCTGAGGCGCCGGCGGCAGTGCAGCCCACCGGGGTGTTCGCGGCGGCCGCCTTCAGCTTCCTGGACGAGGGCAGCAAGGAGAAGGGAGGCGGCGAGACGACCAGCAGCGATGACGATGACGATGACGATGACAGCACCAGCGACGACAGCGACGACAGCACCAACGGGCGGCGCCAGAATCAACCTCGCAAGCGCGCAAGAACGGCGAACGGGGGCGCCGCCGCCGCCGCCGCCGCGGCCGGCTGCGGAAGCTCGGGCGGCGGCGGAAGGCGCCGTCGCAGCGGCCCCGTCCCCCAGACGTCGAGCATGCTAGCGAGGGGTTTCCGCCCCGGGGGCGAGAGCGCCGCCAGTAACGAGGACGGGGTCGAGGGAGAGGTTGGCGGCGAAGGCGACTTCGACGACGGGTGGGAGGAGGGCGAGGGGCAACAGGAGGAGGAGGAGGTGGAGTGGTACGAGGACACGCCCGGCGACATGGGCCGCTTGGGGTGGAGCCAGGTCTGGAGGAGGGGCGACGTGACGGCGGCTGCGGCGGGGGCGGGTGAGGGCGACGACGACGGGGACGGCCTGGACAAAGGCTCGAGGGTGTTGGCGAGGAAGGTGAGCGGCGGCGGCGGCGCCGACAGGCGACGGCTGTGTGGCCGTTTTTGCTGGGCTTCGTTGATTTTTGTTTTTCGGGAGGGGGGAATGTTCAATCGATCGGGGTCGCGGCCCCAGTGTTTGTTGCGTCGCTGGTGTCTCATGCTGATCTCTCTCTCTCCCTCTCTTGCACGCACGGGTCGGCGTCGCTGCCGCCATTCGCCGTTAGTGCCGTAAACTCCTCCTCGCCGACACCGCTGGATCAGCTCCTTCTTCGGAGAGCGGCGACGAGATCCTCGGACCGAAGGGGCTGAGTGCGCTGCTCCGGCTGGAGCTGACGGGAGCGGTGAGCGAGGCATCTACTTCGTGATTTTTCTTCTTCTTTTTTTCACTCATTTTACGGAGCAAGCATGAGTTTCATCCGATTTACACGGGTGTGGTTATTTGTTTCGGGCCCTCCAGCTCAGTTTTCGTTGTGCATACGGCCTCAATCGCGCACTGATCGAATGAACACGTCGAAAAGCGGCTACCATCCACCTCCAAGCACCTTGTGTTGTTCACAGCTTTCGCCCTGTGCGGGGCCGGCCCCAACCATGTGCCAAGGGGTGCCTTTCGAAACCAGGTGTTGGTATTATTTCTCAACGGTTCTCTGCCATCAATAGCGCTGCCGAGCCTTGGAAATTGTTTCTAGGGCGAGTGCGTTATCTTTTTTCGTGATGGTCAGTTGAACGATGGTGCCAATCCAACCGGCTTGAACAATCCTCCACCCCCTCAAAGTTCTCTGCAATCGACAGCACTTTTCCTCGTGCGTTTTCTCGTTAGCGATGGTTAATGAACAGAAGAAGCCGTTCCGACCAGCTTGATATATCCCCCCTCGCCTCATCTGCGAAAATAAAGCCGTAGAATCAAGCACACCCAATCCTTGTTAGACTAGTACCCCAACCACGAACGCACAGTCAACCCCGCCTCTGATATGGAACTCCACATGCAAACGTCCCGTATCCCCTCGAGGAAGGTTTCCATGGAAGGCGTGCTTGTGTCGGCGCTGAGGGGGAGGTCGTTGAAGCGAGACCACGGGTTTCTCGGCCGCTTGGCGCTGCAGCTCCTGTCGGGGATCGACGCCGCACATGCCTCGCCTCTGTCCGACCCGGAAGTGCTAAGCCTGGTCGTGGAAGAGCTGGAGGTGTGACATAGCGGCGGTTCGGTAACTGAATACCGTTGTTGTTCGGTAACTGAATACCGTTGTTGCCGGGTTTAGCCCGCCGGAATAGCACAGGTTGCGTGAGAACTCCCCCCCCCCCCCGCGTATTGTTTGTTCGTAACGTTTGGGAGGAAGAATAGGAGTGTGGTCGACACCCTTGGAAGCGTCGATGGTATGGGGGGCAAATCACCGCATGACGGATAGACAGACAGACAGACAGACAGGCAGACAGGCAGACAGATGAACAAGGGCAAGAGAGAAAACACCGATGAGATAGACGCAGAGATTGTCAATGGTGTTTCTTCAGTTTTTTTTTTTTTTGAGAAGTCGATAGGGTCGGGGGGTATCGCAACCCACCCTCTATGACGGAGCGCAGACGCTGCGTCCTACTCCCGTCGCGCTTGCCGGTTCTTCCCGTCTGTACTATGTACGCAAGAATAATGAACCAGATTGTTTCGAACCTTGAACAGAAGACACCGGATAGTTTCAAAACCTTTCCTGCAACACTCCGATCAACCTTCTATGCTTCGTTTTCCCATATCCTCCTCCCAAAACTATAGGGCCTTGCGGAGATACTGGCGGCGCCATCGACGACGGAGCAGCTAAGGGTCTTCGGCTGGGCCAGGGAGACCCGCCTCGCCCTGGAGCTCTTGTCGGAGACCCTCCTTGACTGGATGGATGAGAACCAGGCCAAGCGCTCCTCCGGGGTCGGGGATGCCGTGAACGGGGACGAGGAGAACGATGACCCCGGGGGTTACTCTTCCATGAGTGAGGCTTTGTCCGCGTAGGGTAGTGCAGGGCGGGGCGCGGCGGCGGTGCCTTTGTTTTTCTCGTCATTTTGAAGCGGTCTTACTCGTGGAGGGAGATACAGCAGTACGTTATACTGATGTTGCTTCGAAAGTAGTAACAACGCCACGCTGTGTTCGTGGCTAGCCGGCGGCGCAGGACAAGTCGATGGACTCAGGACTCAGACCGTGTGGTGGAATGAATGTCGGTCCAGTGTTTTTCGGCGACCCTCCTCGCGCAACGCGCGAACTACATCTGGGAGTTTACGGCATGCGGTTTCGGACGGAAGTACCCCATCTTTGTGTTGTGGCCTGTCGTGGTACACTCTGATTCGGGAAGCCGAGCTTGACGCAAGTGTGCTAAAGGCAGCACACGGGTGGTCGGGAGTTGTAGCAGTGGAAGAGGCGTCATCCACTAGCGACGCGGAACAGGATAGGTGCGTAGCTGTGGCTTGTCCACGTCGCGGACGTTCGTTCGTGACCAGATGCGTGCTGAGCGACGTTTGTCCAAGCGTCTTCGGGATCGAGCGACGGAGTTCGCCGTCGTGCCCGCAGCGGAAAGCATCACTCATAACAAAAAGAGCATTCGTACATACCCCGAGAAATCATGACCCATCATGACATGATGACGGGGTTTGTTGGCCCCATGGCGTCGATCCCTTACGCTCGGCGCTTTTCGTGGCGGCACCGACCCCTCCAGGCTTCGGAAGCAGCAAGAAAAAGAAAAAGAAGAAAGCGAAGGCCAAGGGCGTTGGCGGGGGCACTAGCGCTGGGAGTTCGACCGCGAAAGGAGGCGTCCGCGAGGAGGGGGGAGGGGACGCTTGGAGGGCGGAGGCGGAGGCTACGGTGTTGTGGTGGTGGGAGACGGACGAGGAGGCGAGGGTTCCTTGGGCCGTGGCGAGGCTTCTCGGCCTGCTGCTCAGGTAGAAGAGATCCTACCGGACTGTAATTGGAAACGAGTCTGGTCCTTTCGATATTTTCGTGGCTTTGATGCCGCATGGCGAAGAATTTCCGCGGTTATTGTTGCTGTTACTGCTGTTGCATTTGCTTTTGCTTTTTCTGTTGCTGTTGTTGATGTTGTTGTTGTTGTTGTTGTTGTTGTTGTTTCTTGTATCGATGACGATGACAGCAGCACCACCAACCACCAACCTCTCGTGACATCCTAAAACGTTTCTACTTTTTTCGTAATCTGATCCACCAACCCGACCCCCCACCAGGCGGCTGGACCAGCCCCAGCGCACCCAAGCCGTGCTCCACCCCATCCTCGTACGCTCCCTGGGGGGACCCGCGCGCCTGCGGCGCTTCCCCCTGGCCTTCCTCGAAGCCTTCCCGGGTCTCCTCCTTCGCTCATCGCCCACCGCCGCCGGAGCCCCCGCGAACGGTCGGTACTGGGGGGGACAGGAGGAGGATGGGGCCAAGGTTGAACGGGGTGATGGTGTCTTGGCTCCCGGGCTGTGGCGGCGGGCTGTGGCGGCGGTTTTGTTCCCGCCGGCAGCGGGGGGCGGTGTCAATAGCGGTGGTGGTGTGGGCGGGGAGAGCGCGGGTGTTGTTGGTGGCGGCGGTGGGGGTGGAGATGGGGCCGCGGTTGTCTCTGCGCGATTGAAGCTGGTGTGCTTCGGTGATGTGCGGCGGGGGCAGCAGCGTGAAGGTTTGTTGAAGGGGAAGGGGACGAAAAGACACAGATGAGCAAGAACATACGGAAGGCGCTTTGGCTTATCTTGCCTGTTGTTACCGTCGCGTGCGATTGCCAGCGTTTGCGTGTGACTGCAACAACGCGATGACGGTAGCAAACCTTGTTTCCCCGCAAGGGACCGGCGTCAAGAGTCTCCCCCACCTGAAACAGCAGAAGCCGTCAAGAGGATGTCCGTGCTCACAAAACTAGCTACTGTGACCTGCTAGTTTTTGTCTACATATTTGTTTGTCCCCCCAATTTGTTTGCCTCTGCAATGCGTACATGTTTTGCACCCGTTTCTTCTCGAGCCCGTGCCCGCACGAGGCCGTCATTTTTTTGCTCTTGTGGCAACGCTTGGATGAGATCGCAATCACCACGGGGTCGTTTCCGTGTAGCGGCGACGGCCGACAGCAACCACAAATAAGGTGACAACCTACAAAAAACGACCACCACCATCCCATCAAACGTGGCAGGCGGAGGGCCGGAGGAGGAGACGGCCGACGACCTGGCCGACAAGATCCTGCAAGCCATCGGCTCTCTTCACAGCAACCCCGGGGCGGAGGCAAAGGCCGAGGAGGAGGGAGGGTGCGCGTTGTGCCGGGGGGCCGGCGGAGGGGGTTACAGCGGTGGCGCCTGTGGGGGCGACGATGCGCTCGCGATGTCTTCGGGGCTTGTCTTTGTGGCACGGGGGGCGAAGGAGGAATTTCCTGGTGGTGAGTGAGAGAGTGGCTGCTTGCTGAGGTGGTGTTTTATTCTCCCTGATTGTTTTTTCTCTTCGCGGGGGGGGGGGGGGGGTTGCGGACACGGTTGTACCGCCGCGTATGAGGCATATGAACCCGGGGTTCAGTACGTTTGTGGATAGGCGGCTTCCCTGCTTGGAGAAGTAAAAAGAATTGCCGGCGGGCGAAGAAAAACATCGGGTCGGCCAGCATTGGTTGGTCCATGCAGCACCAGGAGCCGCAGCAGCAGCAAGAGCAGCAGGCTACAGGCTTTGCTGCGAGAAACCGACACAAGCAAATCGCGCACTTTTGCACGCTTCAGCTCAACTCCCCAGCAGTAGGCAATTTCAGACACCCGGTTCTGTGTGTCATACGCCCCCTCCACCCGCCCCGGACCTACCGAACCCCCTTTCACCCCCCAACCTTGCGCTCTGGTGGCTTCCTTCCCAATCAATCGCCATTTTCCAGAGCTTGCCGTTCCAAGGGGGCGAGGGGAGTCCATCGCGGTGGAGGCGGTGAGGGCGCTCGGGCTGCTGGGGGTCGGGGTGGAGAGCGGCGGGTTTCCTGTCTTGTGAGTTAATTGCTGTAGGTACTGGGCGGTATGGTTGTGTGTTGCTTGGAAGGTTAGCTGGAATCAAGAGGTTTTTCCATGGGGGGGGGGGGGGGGGGCGTAGGGCGTGGTTTGGAGAACGAATGGACGTTCTTGTTCAATGCATGGGCTATGAATGCACGAGATTGGCAAAAGTTAATGCCGCGACAGAGACCAACCATTAAGTAAGGGAAGGATAACGAGGGCGGGTGGGGCTGGCGGTTTGTCGCGTGTAAACATCTCACGGTGTTTTTTCTGTTTTGTGGCTGTTTTTTTCACATGACATCACCATGTTCTGAACGCAGATACTGAACGAATGCACACCATCGCTTGAGCTTCTTGAAAAAATCGTCCCGTTGTTTGATTTTGATCTTCCTTGTCTACTGTTGGGGGGGTTGTTCTCCCACCAGGCGGCGTTTGGTACTCGCCATCCGCCGCCCCGGCGTCTGCCAACGTGCGGCCGCTCTGGCTTGCCACGTGTTGGCTCAGTGTGCCGCCGCCGGGCGTGGAAGTAGCGGAGGCAGGGTCGTTCGGTCCGCGAGAGGTCTGGACATGCGCGCCGCCAACGCTGCGAGGGCCCTGATGGACGCCTTGAGGCCGGACTCGGAGGCGGAAAAGTGGGAGGCTGGGCAGGTGCGCGGTGCCTCTCTCTGTCTTTCTCTCTCGGTCTCTCTCTTGGTCTCTATCTGTCTGTCTGCCTGTCTGTCTGTCGCTCTCTCTCTCTCTCTCTCTCTCGGTCTCTATCTTTTTGTCTCTCTCTCTCTCTCCCCCTTTCTCTCTCTCTCTCTCTCTCTCTCTCTCTCTCTCTCTCTCTCTCTCTCTCTCTCTCTCTCTCTCTCTCTCTCAGTCTGTCTCTGCCTCTGTCTCTATTTTGTCAACATTCTCTCTGCGTCTGTCTCTCTTTCGTCTGTTCTCTCTCTCTCTTCGACCAAGTGTTGTTTTCGTTGCGTTTTCTTTTACCTTGCCGAGTGCACTGCTCTTTCCAGACCGTGTCTGTCGTGGCTGCGCGCAATTGTTTGCACTTCGTGAATAGTGGATTTCACCTATTTGCACGCATTTGTAGCTGTGTTGTATTGGTGTCGTCTCTTTTCGTTTTGTGCTCAGCTAGTAGTGTGTTCAACCAGCACTATTTGTTTTTTCGCATCAATATGCGTATGATCAAAATATGTTATACCCTCTTTGTTTTGTTCTCTCTCTCAGCTGGACGAGGACGTCAAGCTACCCTTTGGCGCCAGGGCACAGGCCGCTTCTGCGCTCCTGTCTCTGCTCGAGGGACGCTACGGAGAGTCCGCAGCCGAGAGCGAGCGGACCATCGTAGAGTGGGCCCAGGTGCGTCATACGCTGCCACCGGCACCATGTGTATGTACAGTACTCCCCCAACAGCTTGCCGTAGGTGACATGATGTAAGGTACCGCACCCCCTGGACCAATTTTTGATTAAGCTCGACGACTCCAAGACGAAGAGGATGCCGGAAATGAAGATGACAGGTTATCGGAAAGCTCTCGACGAGACGGTTCCAATGCCGCCATTTTCGGCACCGTCACCGTGTTTTCTGCAGAGTAATCGGGCTTTGAAAGTCGGTCTAGGGGGTGTGTTATCTTACGCATCCTGTCCTATTCTCGTCCTTGCGGGTGTTGTTGGAGCGAGAATGGTGGGAGTGGTGGGATATTTCCAGCTAGCACCCGCCACAGCAACTATTATTGTAGTACCTCCGTATTTCTTTCTCAGGGGTTAGGGGAGTGTATTGTGTTGTCGTGGACAGTCCCCATACGGAGTCATTTTCGTGTCCTTGGAGGAGGGGATGACCCTTGTTTGGGCTTTTGTGTAGTATTTGCTTGCCACCTACTCCGGAGAACAATTTTCATCGTATGCACCCTGGTTTTTCCGATGCGTGCAGAGACTGAAGCCGGAGGAGCGCCTGTCGGCGCCCCTGCCGCTGCTCCTGTCCATCACGGCCACGCTGTCCCGCCCTCCGGCCCACGTCATCAACCTCGCAAGACGGCCCTTCAGGTGTGTGTCTGTGTGGTTGACAGTAGTTGGTGTCGTCGGGGTGAAAGCCGGCTCAAAGCAGACATTATGTCCCTTCATTCGGGCACTTATGCGTAGGATGCGTGTGTATCGTGGAGAGACAGGCCGACAAAGTGTTGAGAGATGTGGAGACACAGAGACCCACAGACAGACAGTCAGGCAGACGACATAGACAGGCAGGCAAGCAGACAGACGCAAAGAGAGACAGGCAAGAGGGACACACACACTCCACGAGAAGGCACAGGCACAGAAACAGAGCGTTCATCCACTGCATCGCCAATATGCCCGCCTCCTACCTCCTTCACCCCGCCAAATTCTAGCGTCCCAGATTCTGTGAGAAGTCAATGGAGTGTCCCCCCCCCCCCTGGTTGTGTCATGAAAGATGGAAGGCAGTTTCAGATTCGGCGAGGCGGCAGGGAGTGTGGCTCCACCGGCACGAGGCTGTCGACTGGAAGGCTGTGGAGGCTTCGTCCATGAGTGCGAAGGGGTGGATCAGCGACAAGGAGGTGGCGTTGACTTGGGCCACGGAGCTCAACACCATGTGAGCCGTGGCGTATGATGATGTTGTTGTTGTTGTTGTTGTTGTTGTTTGGGTTGCTGTTGTGGCTGCTGCTGCTGCTGCTGCTTTTTTCGTTGCCGGTGTTGGTGATGTCGAGTGGAAGACCGTTGTGACCCGCATGTTGTCCTCAGGGAGAGATGGAACACGACAACAATATATGCTAATGTATGAGTTTGTGCCGAACTGAGGGTACTTCAGAGTGCCGCCCCGGTGCCCTCTGAAAGCGAAGCATCTGATCCTGAGGCCTTCCCGATCAGCACCGGTTGCGTGCAATATTTGAAAGAGTTTTTTGGTCTTCGCCAATGAGAACAGAGGAGTGCTATTTACTTCATTGAAACGTCTCAAACTCTTCACCGAATGTTACCTAGCTACGCTATCTACAACGATGCAAGTATTTGTAATACCGAGGGTTCATTCCCCCCGGACATTTACCCTTGGTCTTTTACCAGCTACGACAAGGACTGTGAAAAGGAGACCACCCACGTCATGCACCCTTCGGAGCGAGCGTGCGCCGCGAGCCACTTGGACCTCTGGAGGCGGTGAGCAAGGAAGGAGGACACTGTGGCCTAGTCGAGATCAGCTCCATGAGTTCAAATGAGAGCGTTTGCAGGTTTTACCTACGTAGCGGACGAGCAAAACATTTCTTTGCGACTGCTTCGCGCTGCACTGTGTTTTGTTTGGGTTCAAGCACGGTTCCCGGTGCCCGGTGCCTTTACCTTCTGTTCTGGTTCTGTTCTACCTCCTGCGGCAAGTGTTCTCTTTTCTCAAAGACCCCCCTCCCCCCCCGGCTACTACCGCCTTGTCCCGTCTACTAAATGGGTGCCTGTTCATTGCCTGCCCGACAAGCCATCGAGACTCAAAGCTGGCGCCCTTCATGCCGGAGGTGCACCCTGACGCCGTTCTCATTCTCGAAGATGACGCCAAGCTCGAGCCCGGGTACGTCCGTCTATCCAGCCGCCACCTGATTGCTGTGTTCGAATGGTGGTTTGTTTGTTTGTTTGTTTCAGGCCGATACGACACGCGTGGTAGATTATTTTGAGCGAAACGGGATCGGATTGAAATTCTTCGGCAGGACACAATACAACGGCAGACAAACAACCCGTTCGAGACACTACCACAGTCCAAGGGGGGTGAACGGAAAAATGGTCATGCTTAGAAGTATTGGTTTGTTGTCTTTGGTGGCGACGGAGTGAGGCAGGGAAATAGCAGCGCTGAAAAAAACACACCACACTCAGAGCACATGCTTGCGTCATCTGGGCGGCGGCCTCTCCACGCTTCCATTAGTGGTATGCCCGGTCAGCTGGCTGTCTCCGCTTGGCTCTGCTGTGGTTTCTTTGAGCGGTGTAATGAACGTCGACCGCGGGTCGTCAATCTGGTATTCCTGCCGATTATCGTTTCGGCGGTGCGGCGGCTGGATTTGATTTTCGTCCATGTAGTAGTGCGTGCCTCGGGGTGCGGCTCATGGTTGACTATCTTGGGCTCGTCACCTTCACTCATCACCTTCATTGTCTACAACATCGGGGACGCGAAGAGGGAGATATTGCATCCTTTTTCCCATCCATGTTTTTGCCCTCACTTTGAATAACGGCGTCTCGACCCGCCCTTCTCCCCTACCCCACACCCCATCCCCCCGGCCACATTTTAGGTTCTTGGAGGCTGCCAAGGCTACAATGCTACAGGCTGCAGCCATGGACACAGTGCGAAAGGTCGGTAAAACAAGAAAGGCCCGCATCCTTCTCCAAATATGAACAGGCCTTTTTGTATTGTTTTCAGTGTTGACCGCGTGGCGTGGGGCGTTTTGCGTTTGGAGAAACGTTCTTCGCCCGGAATTTCCGTGAGGACATCGACGTCGGCTCAGGCCTTTGCGTTGCGCTCATTCTTGTGTCGTAAAAAAAAAAACAATTCCCGACACCAAGCGTGTATCTTAATGTCGCAGGCTCATGCAGAAATTTGGCCAGATGTTTCTTGTCCCGCTGATAACAGACACCACGCATCAGGAACTCGGCACACCCACGCGCCAATCTAGCAAAACAGGCCGAGTAGACCGTGAAGACCTACCACGATGCAATCAGACCGATCGTGCGCTCTTCGTGTTTCTCCGAATGCGCTTCGAATGTATCTATGGCCGCCCGGTGTGTTACTCCGAATGCTCTTTTCGGATGTACCTTGTTTTATGGTGTGCGTCTCCTTGAGAGCGAGGCTTGCAGCTGGGGTGATGATAAACGAGGAACGTCTGTGAACCCCAAACCACATCCCTGGCTCGTTTTGACGGGAAACCTTCCCGTCTCTGCGTGCCAATAACGCATGCGTAACTTCTGTCTACAACCAATGCCGGGCGTGCGTGTCTCCGGTTCGTCACCGGGAGAGCAGAAGAAGTCGATCGGACTCTCCAAGGAGTGGGACATCATCTACCTTGGCCACATGTGAGAATATCGCCCCCGCCTATCTCTCCCAGAATCCTTCCGAACCAGAAGCCGAGTGGAACACGCAAAGACACGGCAACCATGTTTTTTTCGTATTCAAACCACCATCGCAAAGGGAAAAAATGCATCGCGTGTTGTGTGCTCTGCTGTGCAACATCGTGTTTGGCATCACCTTTCCCTCGCCTCTTCGTCGGTGCCATGCCCGATGATTCTATTCCAACGGTACTTCATCGACAAGCTCTATGTTCTCCTTTTCCGCGTTTGTTTTTTTATCGCTCTTGGGCGACATTCTCACTACGCAAAATCTTTGTTGCCCGCGCTGCTTCCCCACGCCCACCCCCACGCGCTTGATGCCCCCTCCGTCTTTCGTACACGCCTCCAGTCTCCCCGTTCCCATCATGGACGGCATAGCCAGGGCCTCAAAAACCAAGAAAAACGCGGCCAACGGCAACGGCGGGGTGGAAGAAGGAGGAGCGGCTACAGACACCGCAACAACGACGGCCGGGGCGCCAGCAGGGGACACCGCCGCCGCTGATGCTGGTGCTGGTGCTGCAGCGGCGGCCACCGCTCTGGGGCTCGTGGTCGCCCCCGTGACCTTCGCCTGGGGCCTGCACGCCTACCTCCTCACCCGACCGGCGGCAACTCGCCTGTCCAACAGCCTCCCGGTGTCCGCCCCCGCCGACATCTTCGTCGCGAGCATGCTGACGAGCACCGACAGCGGCAGGCCGGTGCTGGCCGGCCGGGCCGTGCTGCCGGCCCTTGCGACGACGGCGGGTGGCGGGGGCGCCGGAGAAGCGGCGCTAGCGGCGGCGCTTGGCGGGGGGGGCGGCGCCGCCGACGACGAGAGCGTCGGAGACGTTGTGTCCACCGGGACGCGCAGGGCGGGAGCGGCCAACGGCGTTCGGCTGCCGCCGGGGATGGGACCGGGGGCAGCGAGCCGGGGCCGTAGGGGCGGTGGCGGTGGCGGCGGCGGGGGCGCGCCGTGAGGACAGCGGTTTTGATGGGGGGCGAAAGGGCGTCGAGGATAGGACAGCTGAAGAGCGCTGTTGTCGTGGAACGGGTATCGAGGGGCGCGAAGTGAAGGGGTGTGTGGGCAAGAGAAGTTGTAGTGTAGAGTGAATTAATGGTATTGAACGCGTGTTTCGGTCGTCGAGCGCAGACTTGGCTCGCTCGTGAAGATATTTTTGTGACCACCCAGCGTTGAATGGCGGGAGGGACCACGGTGAGACCGTCTATCCTTTTACCCTCGTGATAAATATCTTCTTCTTGACCTTTCTTGGTCACAATGCTAACCCCAAGTACAGGTGCGAAGGAGAGCTCGAACGCGCAAGTAGTCTACACGCTCTCGAAAATATAGTCCCCAGTCAAACGAAAAGAAAAAACACGGAGAAGGAAAAGAAAAGACAAACCTGAGCCCTTCGGCTGCTCCACTATCACGCAAGCTGAGTCCCAGCCTGGTGGTATAAGGGTGTAACGCTACCGCAACACCCCAGGGTGCCTGGTTTCTCCATAGTCTTGCCTCAGATATCTGGGCGTTGTCATCAAGCACCTCGCAAATCATCAGTGATGCGCTCTATCATTCTTCCCCCCCTCTCCCATCCTTTGGGCAATGGCCTATCCTTTGGGGTCCACCGAGAAGGTATCAAGCTGATCTCCGGAGTTCCAAGACGCACGACACGTGCTGCACGTCGTTCATCAACCTTTGGCCGCATCGACAATTTGAGACTTTTGACACAACTACAAGCGAATGCAGATGCTCACACCGATCCAAAAGGGGGTTCTGCAGCAGGGTCAAATCGCGGGAAGTTGGGAGGCGACACCAAAGTTGCCGTGGTAGGTATAGGTTTGCATCCTAGGGCGTCATGTCGGCAAATTCGAAGCCTCCACGGCTCACTACAGCCGAAAATTGTTAAATCCCCAGGGGTGTTATTCAAGGAAGTAGGCCTCCTCCATATGCTCTCCTGACTGCCTATTCGTTTGTGTGCCTTCGTCGTAGGCCCCTGGATGATTGATTTTGGACGCTTTTGGTCGTTGAGGAGAGCCAGGTTTGTTGGGGCAAAGAAACGAGAATCCAAACGAACCGTCTTGTTGGGCCTGTTTACCCACAGGGGAGATATCGCTCTATGCTGCCCGGGGAACAGTAGAAGTACAAGTTGGTCGTCATGCAACACTGCGAATTTCATTGCTAGAAAAATGGACCCGCATGCGGAAGATCACAACCATTCGGTTTCGGGTAAAGCATGAGGGACTCACCAGAGACATTGGCGATTCTCATCAAAGGCTGCGGAGAACGGTTGACTCAAGACCTTCATTATTCACGAGTGAGTGAGCATGCACGCTTGCCCAACATGCACGGCAGAAGAGGAATCGACACATACCAACAATGAGACACGAAATTCACCAAGATGTCCATAGATTCGCATCTATTTAGTGCCGAGCAAACCTAGCAGCCCCCCTACTCGGTAACTGTAAATACAACCTTGATTCTTCACATTGTATCGCGCAATGTGGCCGTAATAATCTCACATCCCCAAGTGCAGAGCATTCATCGTTGCAATCCGAAACAAATCTCCCAAGATGACGGTGTCCTCCGAAATCAATCGTTGATTTCCCAATAGTACTCCCAGCCTCTGCTCTACTGACGAATAAGAAAACCAGACGCCCGGATACATCGGGAAACGTGTTCATCATCAGAAGTTACGGCTCTACCATATGCAGGAAAATATATCCACCAACGCAACCACATAACAATCAGCAAAATGTCAGCTCCGCAAGAAAAACGCAATAGTTGCGAATGCCACAAAATATATAGTATCAATCTGAACCCAAAAGACAAAAATCTGATTACAGTCCCCCCTCCCACCGTCAGCGGTGCCCTGCAACAAGAAAAACACGTGAAAATGATTTTTGTGCTACGACGAAGACGACAATGGCATTACACCCCCCCACCATGATTCTTGGTAGCAGCACGGTAAATAGCGCTGCACGAAAGACAAAGTCGAGAATCACAAGGCAATAGGAAGTTCTACACGTATAGCGTCCCTTCCGGCCGAAAACACAACAAGAGCGGTATCTCTTGTACATTGAGAACACGAAACAGAAAAAATACCAGGCACAACGATAGCGCCCCCCTTCAGCCAACAGGCGCCACCAATACCACCAAAATCAGCAACAATAACTGCAAGGCAGCCAGAGACGCAGATGATATAGCAGCACTAAAGAAACCCAAACGCACCGTCGGAGCATTCAAAGGTCAACGGATGTTCACGATGACATCTCGGTGAACGAAAAGTAAAAGGTCCCGAGGGGTGGAAGGTTTGTCAGGATAAGCGCGTGCTGCAGGGTCGTGGGCATATGCACAATCTTAAGCGGGCCCCAGGAAACAAATGTTCAAGCACTCGGATTGCTACCGATATGCACTCGGATTGCTACCGATATCTCACAGTGCCACGCTGACTGAGTAGTCTAGTGGACCTTTCGAGCACAACCCACCCCGCCGTTCCTCGCGTTGTGGTGTTATAAAAACCGCACGATGTGTCGAAACAGTGCTTCGTTCTGCAGGTCGACCAGACGGGGCAGCACAGCATCAGTAGTGGCCTCGTTTTCCGCCTGCACACCCTGGGCACGCAGCATCACCAGCGTACCCCGCCGGCGCCAGGCCCTGTCTGCCGGAGCGTTCGCCAATAGCTGTTGCAGCCATCCGTTATGCCCTTCGCTGCTTGCCATGATGTCCGCAGGGGTATGGCGATCTTCGTCGGTAGCCGTCTCGTCCGCACCCGATCTAAGAAGAATGTCGCTGCACGCAGCTGCCGAGCACACCTGGGGATTCATGCACAATATGTGAAGGGGGCTGTGCCCGTGTTCGTCTTGTGCGTTTGCGTTGGCTCGTCCCTTCTGTAGAAGTACGAGCATGCCGGGGTAATTACCCTGGTAGGCGGCTTCGTGAAGAGGCGTCATTCCCTTCATGCAGTGTCCTCCATCAGAATAGTAGCTGATCATGCGCGAAGTTCGCGCTTCGACATCGGCCCCGACCTCAATGAGTGCGTCGACAACGTCCGATCTGCCATCTCTGACAGCCCAATGAAGAGCACTGTAGCCAATGTTGTCCACGGAAGTCACGTCCGCGCCCATGCCAACTAGAGCGCTCGTCATGGCCGCATTCCGACGCGCTAGATATAGCGGCGAGAATCTCACAGTTGGGTCGCCCGTCGTGAACAGAACGTTGGGACCAGCACCGGCCTTCAAAAGAGCCTTCGCAACGCCCACGTGTTCCATCTTGACCGCGATGTGGAGAGGTCGTTGTTCATGTTTGTTGGTCGCGGAAACAAACGCCCCCCTTCGCAAAAGTCGACAGGTGAACGAAGGGTCGCCATGAGCGGCGGCATGATGAAGGGGCGTATTGCCGCGGCGGTCCTTAGCTCTGACACCGGCTCCAGCGATCACCATGTCTTCCGCGAGCCGCAGGCACCCGCTTTTGATGGCGTGGTGTAGGGCAGTGGACCCGTCGGCATCGACCAAATCAACTTTGGCACCTGCGAACATCAGCACACGCCCCGCATCGGCGTGCCCACCAGCGGCTGCATAGTGGAGCGCAGTCCTGCCCTCGTGTCCAGAGACCGCGTCCACTTCCCCCACACCTTCAATGTCGAGGACCGTGCGAATCACCTGTTCGTGCGTGCATGAGCGAATTAGGATACAGTATACCAACGGGACCGCATAATGTGGCGTCGCAGACAGAAACTGATGGTACCCTGCGTTGGGGTTATTAAGGCTACGGTCGTGCCGTTCTCTAGGTTTGCGAAACGTGTAGAAAGACGCATGAGAGAAAATCAAGCACCACCGTTGTTGTACTTCCTTGAGAACAGAGTAGAGTTGCTCGCAAACTACATGCAGGTTGTGTTTCGCTACGCACAAGTTGCACATTGACTGCGTTGTTTGTCGCAAGAGGGGCGCTAGGTTTTCGAGGTTTGTTCGAGGTACAAAGTGTGCAGCCGTATGTTGTTTGAACCATCTCCTTAGGATAGTTTCATGCTGTATTGCTTAGAATGCTACCGCTGTACCAGGAACAGCGATATTAGGCTACAGTGCTGACCCGCTCGAAAGAAACCCGCTCGTAAGGAATCGAGGCTCAGCACTTCGAAAAAATAAGAAAAAACGCAAAGAAATTGATCTCATTTGACATATAGAGTGATAAGAAACGAACTAAAAAGAAAGGCACAATTTCGGCTTCCTAGACACAAGAAACAGAGGAATCAAGGCTGGCGGCAGGAAAAAACGGCCTCGACGCGCATCCAACGGGCGGGGGGCCTATTTCGCCGCAAGTAGGGTATGGATCTCCTTGAGACTGTGAAGACGGAACCCCCTGGAAGCGCCGCTACCGTTTCGCCAAAACTCAAACGTACAAGGAAGGCAATGCTGCTCTCAGACGCATTCATCGGCAACCTCGAGAGGTTGTCGAGCTTTGTTGATGCCGGCTACATCAAAGAGAGCAGGCACGACGATTCCATCAAGAAGCACGTGACGGCTAACAAGTCCATCGACGACACGTTCTGGTCGCATGTGGAGCGCATGGCTAACTTGCTGTCCAGCGGCACGTTTACGGCGACAGACAACACAGAGCAGCTAGATGCAAAAGTTGCACACGTTGTGCGAGACGGAGCACCACAGTCAGCAGCGGCGCGCGGAGCAACAGGGGTTGGTGGGTGGAAGATGAAGGAGGCTCGTAGGCCCGCACAGAAAAAGTTGAAGCGCACGTCCAAGGAAACGAAGGCCGCGGCGAAGACGAAGCACGGGAACATCGTCAACTGCTGGGCCGCACCAACAAACAACCCGGTGAGTTGGAGAGTCCATTTGCTTCCTAAGTCCATGATCAGTCCATGATCGTGGATGAAACGCGTTTGTGCATCACCTGTTACGTCTCTCTCGCCCGCATTTTTTGCCGGCAGGAAAAAGCAACACGTCATCTTTGCGGAGAGGGATTATCTTTGGTTCACCATCGAGTTTGCGGACGCGGTTTCGGATACCGGCACTGCCATTGATTTTTTCACTTTTGCTTTTTGGCTTTCTGTTTTCTGCAACACTTAGTTCGAAGCGCTACATGTAGTACAAATCCATGAGCTTCCCTCGCGTGAAGAGTTTTTTAGTCACCCCCGGGAGTGCATGTAACGACCCCCCTAAAGAAAGCTCGTACTGCACCCTGTATATAGAATAGGGAGAGAGAGCTGGTGGCGAGAGAGAGAGAATGGAGTAGGTAGACTTCGCCCAATGGGTTCAAAAAACTTGACGGTTACATTACAACAGCAACATGATCTTCTTTCTGCCTCCCCGCTATCCCGAATCGCACCACAGCAACAGTGTCCGGTTGGTAACGCCCGGTCTTGATCGTTCCTCTATAGAACGCAAAGAAGTCCAAAAACACAAGCTACTCGTATTCAATTTCCCATCCTTACTGCTGGTGTCGAAATGCGCCAACCATGTGCATTCCGCTGCTGGTTAAATGAAAAGTCTCGTCTGGCTGTTGTAAATTCATTGGAGGGACAGTTTCAAAACACGTTTTGTTGTGCTCTTGAATCCCCGTACCCCGGGCCTCGCTTTGCTGCCCTTTACTCGCAGATCAAGCGTACCCGCAATGCATCGGGGAGGAGGTCACCCGCGTCCACTATCCCATCGCACCACCTCCTCCCAAGTTGAAGTGCCCGTACTGCCCCAAGACCTTCGCCGCCGAACAAGGTCGGTCGCTACTCTGTAGCGCCGTGCACCCAGCTCCTCTTCGGCACCTTGGAAAAGGGCTCTGGCGCGCTCTCGCGACTGGTGGGACCATCACGACTCCACCTTGGCAAGGGTTTTCGGGCATGTGCTCCAAAGTCAGGTTTCCCACTCCCTGGGAGGCGGGCAGATCTCTACGGGGGGCCAGAAAATGTACCACATGCAAGGGAGCTGTTCGTTCCAGCTACATCAGACCCAAGGCGATGCTACATCAGACGTGCCAGATGATGACCTTTCGCCGGACGAAGAACACGCCGAGGGGAAGAAAAGACGAGGAGCTGAAAGGAGTACGCAGTACAGCAACAGGAGGAAGGCTGCGGTGGTCGCGGAGCTGCGAGAGCTGGAGGCCGATCACGCCGAAAAGATCTGGCTTGTTCACGGCGTGTCGTCTCAGAAGTTCCTGGTAAGGAAGACCGGCATTCCCACACCCAACACCTGCAAGTGGAACGGTGAAGCAGAGAAGCTGATCGCAGCCTCGGCAAATGACTTGAGGAGAGACCTTTTCAAGACTGGAAGGGAGAGGAGGTGGTTCGGAGACAGAGAGAAGAAGCTGTACTCGCTGCTGCTAGAACGGCGCAAGAGGAAGCTCAGAGTGTCGACAGCCTGGATTCGATTCTCCGCGAGGAAGCTCGTGGTGGAAATGTGTCCGGACGACCCGCGTGCAAAACACTTTGCAGCGTCGGACCGGTGGTGCAGGAAGTTCACGAAGCGCCACCGTCTTTCGAAACGAAGGCGCACCAACATGAAGAACAAGTCGGTGGTCCGCAGATGAAGAAATGCCACAGAAAGCTGCGCCGGCTGCTGCAGGAACCAGCCGTTCGCCGGGCCGCTGCTGGGGGCACCGCCGAGAGCAACAGCGATGAGGTCGATGAACTCCAACCGGTCGATGAGGCCATGGACGCCTCTTCAAAGTCGAAGTCGGCAAGGAGCTAGATGAATATCTTGGGCACGAAGAAATCCTGCTCCTGTCGGAGACCAACAAGCTTTCAGCTGGCGCACGGCGTATTCTTTTCACGCGATTCATTGCAACGGCGGTTGCGCGAATGGACGCTCGGCCTGGGTACCGCCATCGCCTTTTTGAGAAGACTGGATCGGAGATGACGGCATACGGATCGTTGGACGACCGCATCACTCCGGAGGGCGTAGTGGGGGCGTACAACTTCATGGTCGGGGACACGAGCGGTGACGAGGAGATGCCCGACCGCGATGATCAGGTCGGCGACAACGATGGGGGGCTGGGCGGTGGAGAATCAAGCTGCGACAGCGACTCAAGCGCAGACGATGATGGCAAGTTTTCGAGTCTAGGTCCGTGTTGTGTTTCGACTTTGCCTCTCGTTTTGCATGCACGTGGGGGTGTGTGTGGATTTATTCAGAGCGCCTGTCTTATGCCTCCCTTTCTCGGACCAAGTGTGATAGGTGGTGACCCCGGCGATGTTCAACACCCCCTTTTCACAGCTGGACAGTGAAGATGACGTCGACGACGACGATGACATCATCGCGATGGAGCCTGCGGCCGGATTCCGTCTTCAAGAGTCCCCTCCAGCAAAGCTGGATCGCGCATTGATGAAGCGTTGCGTGTTCTTGAGGCGTGGTATGGGGCGGTTCTTGGGACAGATCAGCCGGGCAGCGCCCGCGCAGACTAGCCACACGTACGGCCACCGCGTGGTGTTGGCATACGATCAAGGCACCATCAGCGTGAAGATGTAGACAAGGCGAACGCAGCCGTAGGAGCATGGGCGTTGATCGAGCCGATCGACGATTCGAATGAGCCGGCGGAGGGGTGTGAGGGTGAACAGACACGCCGGCAGGGCAGTAGGGCGCGAACCCCCAACGTTCTCAACAGTGACCAACGGAGATAAAGCTTGTCGATTTGTGACCACTTCACCAATCGATTTCAAAGGGCGTTCGGGATATATCTTGTCCGCACGTACATGTGGAACATGATATTGTGCTTGTAGGTTCCTTTCAGTTCATAGTCCCGGGTGACATGCAAGTATGTACCTCGCGGGTAGTGCAAAGCGTCGTGGCTGGCAAAGGAAATTGCACTGATAAGAAATTGTGCAATATGCATGGTGAAAAAATGAGAAATTGTTATTTTCTCATCGGGAAAAAATAAGAAATAATTGCCGACGAAATTCAGCCCCCTGCGGCTGCGGGCTGCGGCAATAAAAGACTTGAGCCTCAGCTGAAATAGGTGTGTCTTACCAGCGGGCCGGCACTGTATGCCGTTGTTGGAAGGTTAGAATCTTGGAATTCATGCAGGAAGGATATGGTAGCGCGCCACCCACGATTGTAGAAGCAGACTTTGTGGATTCTGGCACGTCTGGTACAACCTGGCTTGATCTTGCTCTACAGAACCGTGACAGTGGTGAGTATTTCACGTTGGTTATTGTTCGTTTGGTTTTTGGTCACATCCGGCGTGTGCATGCCCACTGCAGTACTGTACCTGGTAGTGGTTAGTTACTTGCGTAGAGAACAGGGTGTTCGTGCATGATATGAGCAGTAGCTAATGAGCTAATAAGCAGTTTATAGTATCAACGGGACCGTACAAGAACGCGCCCGTGTGTTTTTTGGACGCATGTCATTGGTGCTTGAGCGACAGTGCGGAGACGCACACGGAGTGACAGAACGCCAGCAATCTACAAAAGTATCATACACTACAAGCATCTCCAACACACAAGGGTATATATTACCTCGGCGTTTCCTGACTCCGCAGCCGCGTGGAGTAGAGTGCGGTCGTCGCAACCCTTCCAGCCCGGACCGCCGTTCGCCGCGGCTTTCAGCAGGGTCCACGCAAGGTCCTTGTCGCCCTCAGCAACAGCGTGCTCCAGGGGGGCTTCAATCCATTCCGTCCACTGCCGTGAGGTCGCTTTCTCCGACATCAGTTGGAACAGCCTCATCGCCAAACCACTCAAGACTGTGCGGTCCTCTCCGGTTGCCATGGTAGCCTCGATCCTGTTGCTTGGTGACTTACGCGTGTGATCCTGGATCCTGCTGGATTTCCGAGAGGTTCGTACAGCAGTCCCGGGGGGGTCTCCTTGGGAGAAGTTAGTCACGGGGCACCGTATTGCAGCTACTGCTGTTGTTGTTGTCGTGTCAGTTGCTAGTCCCCAAATCTAGCAAAGACGCTATATGTCAGAGGAACGAATGTGCATGTCTGCATGTCTGATGCAGAACGCGTGCCACCCCCTGCTCCTCCCTCTCTAAACGACAAAGACGGAGTCAATCGGGAGAAGTTCCTGTCGAGGTGAGCTTGGTTCCAGTGGTGACGGCGGTGACGATTGTGGTGGAGTTGCCCCGCGTCGGGCCGCCGTTGTTCCAGGTCATAGGGTACAGGAAGGGCTTATGTACATTCCGTGCCGACTTCCGACACACCGCTAACCTTCTCGAGCTGAAGGATCAGTTTGTCGGTCTATCACGTGTCGCCGATATCACTAAGGACAGTAAGGAACAGAGGAGCGAGGGTTTCGCCGAGATCACTTGCAACTTTCTGCGGAAGAACGCGTGGATTTTTTTTTTTTTTTGTCAGACCCATTTTATGGTTTCAAAATGGGCAGAGTAAGACCCTTCTTCATGGAAACAGAATCTTGCAAATATATCTTGGCATTTTGACCCAACATTTGCGCACAATATATATTCGCCAAGATTTGCAGTATCGCGATTTATGGGGGAAATATGTTGAATGTTGAAAAAGCGGCGAGTTGTTCCACTCTTCTGCTTGAAGTTGATAAAGGCACAACGGCCACTTGGTCCATAGAAAATGCCGAGGTGTGGCGAAAAGTGAGCATGACGTAGTTGTAGAAGGGGGGTCCCTCCCCCAGCTGTATTGCCTCAACACTATGGATGGATACGTGGATACTAGCGATGGGCGCCTACCTGGGGTGCAAAATAGAAGCCGTTGCCCACGAGCTCATGTCAAGCGGAGAAACAAAATATTGTTCCATTGCTGTCCAACTGACAAGAAAGTGCATCAACCCGAGGCCAATGACACCCATGCACGTATCTCACTATGTAGCAGGCGTACCGAGCTCAAACCTCCGGCACTGTCATCTGCACTCACGGATCTGGCTCGGGTGCAAACGGATTGGGTGTTGGGTGATTCGATGAAGAGATAGAAGCGTCGCACACGACAGAGCTGTGTTGGCAAAACTTTCCTCCTCCTCTCTTTTTCTACTTCAAAATAAAGTACTCTTTTGAACGGTCCCTCGACCGTCTGGTGATGACGCACGTGGAACGAGCCAGGGCAAATTCGCATTTTTTTCGCGCGCCTTGGTCGTTTTCGTTCGATGTCGGCGCCACAGGCGCAGACACAGTGACGCCAGGGTGCGTTAGAGACCCTTGCGAGTGTGCCATGTGCAGATTTCATGGCGTTATGGGCGTTTAGGTTGACTGACCCTCGGTGATCGCGCCGCACCCAGGCAAGATTTGTCACGCTGCCTCAAGATTTGTCGGAAGGCTCATTTCAACAGATCTTGGGCCAAGATTTGTTCGAAAGGGCAGATTTCGGGCCTCATGAAATTTTGGCCAAGATATATCGGAAGATTTTGCTCCCATAAATCGTGAAAATGACAGATCTTGGCCAAGATCAAGATTGATCGACAAGATTTCGTTCCCACAAATCGGGGTCTAAGGGTTTGAACTCAAAGACACCACAGGGAGGTGCGAATCTCCAACGCTGTATCCACATGCGTTTCACTCAGGTAACGGTCACAGATATGGGGCGGTGCTTACGATCACCAGACAGACTGCGATGCTCGGTAAAGAGACAGAATCTCGAGATGAGATAGGGACAGAAGTGAAGAGTGAGAGGTGTGCAAGGGCACGCCCTCGCGCCCCTCTCGGACAAAAGTCACGGTCAGCGATCCGAGGAAGCCTCGTGGAAGACGGCTTTAGGTCCCTCGTAACGTTGCACGCTTCCTCGTGGCTCGGAGCGTTGGCGACATCGACATCGCTCCGAGAGACAATCTCTCCGAGGAGAACGTGGGGAACGTTCTCCAAGGTTGTAGGATTGGTGGTGAAAGACGTAGTGGGTTGGATTCGTAGAGTTGTTACCCACAAGAGCACCCATAAATAGGGCAATTTTTTTGTTAAGACACGGAAGAACTTGCAACAATTATCTATGTTTTAGAGGGGCAGAGCCGGATAGATGCCCTCCCACCAATCACCCGTCGAGTTTGTAAGACATTTTGTACGACAGAGACAGATGATTGGGCGATGGGCACGACGCTCTCGGCAGAATCACCGACATCCTCTGCACAGCAGCACCATACACAGACAACATACGATACAACCAGCACAGCAGTATAAGGACTGCTGTAGGCCAAGGGCAGCCAAAGGCACACATCATGGGAGGCGTTGGGTATGACTCTTGCAGCCCGTTGCCTGCTGTCGGCAGCACAAGCGAGTGACGACGCAAGTCAATCCGCGGTCCGTCTGCATCACCCTCAACCTACCGATCTTTGGAGCTTCCCACCCAGACGCATCCCCATAACAGAGAAAACGAGACCTACACGCTGCTGTAGGCCAAGACCGGCCAAAGGCACACATCATAGCTGGCGTCGGAAGCTATTTTTAGACCCCGAGGCCTACTGCTAGCAGTGTAAGCGAGGGAACATGCGAGTGCACACAAGTCAGATCGCTGTCTGCGGTCTCTTCTTCTGCCGGCCAATCTTTACTTCCACAACAGACGCACCCCAGAAACAGAGACAAGTGAGACGTACACAGCGCTGTAAACCAAGGGCGGCCACATACACACGTCGTGGGAGGGGTCCGGGCCAATTTTTGGAGCCCGTTGCCCTCTGCTAGTGAAAGCGAAGAAAAGCAAGTGCGCACCCATGCACAGCAGCAGAAGCGGCAGCAACAGCAAGCAACAGCAGCAGCAGCACTGCTGCCGCTGAGCTGATGATGATGAGAGCTAAATGGCGCTCCCATTCATCCCCTGACTGACTGGTGGTATCGGATGAGGTGTAAGCGTGCGCACTGGTAACCTACGTGGTGGTGTAGGCTCCGTCCATATCTATCTACTCTTGCTTTGATGTCTCTCTCCGACCCTTTTCTTTTCGCGCTTCGCGCGAAATAACAGTTATTTCATTTATCTTTTTCCTAGAATCGCAGCATTTTCTCCCGGCCGGGAAATGCTCTCTCGAGCGCTCTCAGGCCACCACGCTTATTCACTTGGTTTCAGAGTGCAGTCCGGACCGTTCGAGCGCTGACAGGCCAGCATTTCGCATTTTGCAGTTTTCGCAATTTTGACGCTCGGAGCGCAGTTCCTTCGGTCCGATGTGCTCTATCGTCCTCTCCAATGCCATTCCGTTCGTCTCTGCCTTCTTTTTTCTCTACCGGTCTCGCTGTCTCGCCGTCCGTCGAGTCGTGAGAGACGCTCTTTCTCTCTCTCTCTCTTCGGCGCTTTTTCTCTCTCTCCTCTCTCGGAATTAGAATCGAAACCAGAGTCCGAATGGGCGGTACAACTATATTATTATGGTACCAGGTATATTTATTTTTTCCCCGTTTCTCTCTCTGTCTGTATCTGTGATTCTCTCTCCGTCTCTGTGTCTGTCTGTGTGTCTTTCTCTGCCTTCTCCCTCTCTCATTTGTTTCCTGTCTCTCTTTTTCTGTCTCTCGCTATCTCCCTCTGTCGCACACACAATAATACCTATAATTTTTACACGTGTGTCACACATATTTTGCACCGTGTGTGCGGCTCTTTTCTCATATATAATGAATAACATATCTTCATCTTTCCTCATATGAATATCTTTTTCCGGAATCTTTATTTCGTTTATCTTTTTCCTAGAATCGCAGCATTTTCTGTGGGCCAGGGATCGTTCTCTCGAGCGCTCTCAGGCCACCACGCTTAATCACTTGCTTTCAGAGTGAAGTACCGACCGTTCGAGCACTCACAGGCCAGCATTTCGCATTTTGCAGTTTTCGCAATTTTGTCGCTCGGAGGGCAGTTCCTTCGGTCCGATGAGCTCTACGGTCTTCTCCAATACCATTCCATTGGTCTCTGCCTTCTTTTTTCTCTTCCGGCCTCGCTGTCTCGCCTTCCGTCCTTCCCGTCGTGAGGGACACTCTCAGTCTCTCACTCTCTCTCTCTCTCTTCGGCGCTTTTTCGCTCTCTCCTCTCTCGGAATCAGAGTCGGAAGCAGAATCGGAAGCAGAGTCGGAATGGGAGGTACAACTTTTTTCTATTTTTTTTCCGTTTCTCTCTTTGTCTGTGTGTCTTTCCCTGCCTTCTCACTCTCTCCTTTGTTTTGTATCTCTTTCTTTTTCTGTCTCTCTCTATCTCTCTCTGTCACACCCAATAATACCTATAATACCTATTTACACGTGTGTCGCATGATATATTTTTTCGGAATCCATCGGGGTTCGGTCAACGAGCGGTGCATGAGGTTCGTTAGGTGGTGTCCGGATATTCTTAGGGTTTTCGCGCACAAAGGTAATGGCAATTTCCTAGAGTCTTTCGCCACAAACCAGTGAATCGCTCCGTACAACATTTGGCTGCTTTCCAAAACAACTGCCACATGTGTTTTGACGTCTGTACAGCAGCGGCAGTAGTTCAATACATTTACAAATACATTAACAAGGGCGCAGACTTTATCAAGGCTAAGATCCTGTGCGACGGCGATGAAATAGAGGCCTGCCGTTCAGCGCGATACATTTCAGCTGCTGAATCTGCGTGGCGCTTGCTGGGTAGACAGTTGCGCCAGCTGTTTTTTACGCTCATTCTTGACGGAGCCCCTGCCAACCTTCTTTGGGAGCATTTCAATAAGGACTTTACATCAGATTGGCGCATGTCCATGACCGATCTGGATGCCGATAACGCCGCCCTTTGCGAAATCGATCTCGGGTTACAGCACCATGGACGAACGAACGTTATCGTTGGACTGCCTGCCGTAATCCATCGAGACACCCAATACTTTCGTTTCAAGCACATGTTCAA